CCACCAGCATCGCAGCGTGCGCACTTAACCACCAAGCCACAGGGCCGGCCCAGCCATTAACTTTTAAATCTACGAACAGTTAATAGTACTGGTGGAAATTATATAACTAACTTTTACCTTTGAGCAGTGACAGCTGTAATATTGCCACTAATTATTCTTTTACCTCTGAATTTTATTTTCCCAAGAAATTGCAGCTTATTAAAAGATAGGTTATGATTAATTTTTCTGCATGACATTTCGTCACAGTAACTTATTATGTTTACTTATATACTAATTGCATGATATACTGAAATATTTTGTGAACTCTAGATCTGGTCTCAGAATTAGAGACCTACTAGTACCCTGTGTAGACTGGTGGAATTGATTCAATTGGTTTTCCCTTTCCTTTTTGTTTTCGCCTCTCTTCTAGTCAAGAGGTAGTGACTGATAAAGTTTATCTTTCCTTATAGGGAAGATTCATTTTTTTACAGATTTTTTTTTCCCATTTAGTTCCTTTTAAAAGAAAGTTTAGTTGGAAAAGTGCTTTTTTCTTCTATGTATCTAACTAACACTGTATTGTTTCATCTCTAGGTTTGAATTCTGGGAAGATTTTGAAGAGGACCATGGGAAAGGGAGAGAGAATGGCTACCAGAGTCTTCATAAGGTGCTAGAGCCTTTCCTTCTCCGGAGAGTTAAAAAAGACGTGGAAAAATCCCTTCCTGCCAAAGTGGAACAGATTCTCAGGGTGGAGATGTCGGCCCTTCAGAAACAGTATTACAAGTAAGTTATTGGCTGGGTTAGGCCTGAATGAGATAAAGATCAGTACCATGAAGCCATGAGATAGATAATTTACAAAAAAACTGCTTTTTTCAGTGAAGCCTCAGTGCAGATTTAAGTAGTGATTTATTTATGTTCAGAAAGAGGAAGTTATGTTATTCTTGCTTTTTTATTTGGGTGAGAATTTGCACAATACTTTTCATTATGTAAGTGGTCTGAACTTTATGTTAATTCTTAGTGTTAATCTCATTACCAATAAACAGGTGTATTTTACTCATTCATATATTTCTTCTCTGCCATTCATTCAGTCATTTATTAAGATTCTGCAGTGTGCTAGGCATTCTTTTAGATACTGGGAATATGAAGATGAATGGAACATGTTCCTTCCGGAAGCCTTGTTGTTTAGTCGGGAAGACAGACTAGAGACAAATAGTTAAAGCAGGGTGTTGGTTAATAACTGATTCATAGGCAGGGGGACGTTCAGAAGGGAAAGTGCTCACCTCTGTACTGAAGGATGAAGACTCTTTGCTTTCTAGCATTCCAGGTGGCACAGGCAGGTTATGGGCTTGCTTTAGGTTATAATATGTTGTAGGCAAAATGGTGGGCTTGGGACAGAGGGTGGAATATAATGTGCTTGTCATGGGCGTTAGTTTTGGTGATTTAAAGTTGGGTCTGGAATAATTGGAACGAATTGTATTGCCATGAAAACTATAGTCTTTTAAAGTCAGAGGTTTGGTAATCTTATGATATTCCCTGTTTGTTCTTAATACAACTGAATAAAAACAAGATGGTAATTTTCAAAAATTACTTACTATCTGACCCTTTTGCCTAACACTATCTTGATTTTTAAAAATCTTTTTATTGTGGGAAATCTCAAATATGTACAAAAACAGAATAGTATGTAGTCATGTACCCATAATCCAGCTTCAACAATTATCGCCTCGTGGTCAATCGTAGTTCATCTATATCTTCTTTTGCATCTCCATTCCCACCTCCAATCATTTGAAACATATTTTTTCTTTTGAAAATGTCTTTTCTGTTTGACTTATCTCACTTAGCTTAATATGCTCGAGGTCCATCCATGTTGGATTTTTGACATTTTCAAAAGAAAAATATGTTATCTATCTTCCTTCAAAGGTTTTGACCAATGAGATTTATTTTGGTAGGATTATGAATTCATTGATAAACATATTTGTGTTTCATTATGTTGCAGTGATTATCTATACTCATGGTCTAATGGTCCCATTTTTAGCCTGTGGGAGCTTATTCAAGGTGATTCTGAGTCTTTTTGGCATAATCCTAGTAGTAGTTGATAGCTTCTTTGCTTTCTGGAATGATAAAATGTTCAGATTCACCTTGTACAGTTCCTGCCCCAGGACTAGAGTCAGTCATATATCCAACAAGCTCTGCATACTGTTTTATTGGAAAATGGTATTTGGAGACCACAAATCGGGCACTAGGGTGCTCTTTGCAACTGCGGTGGACATTATTGATAGGTCTTTTCAGTGGACAGAATTAGGAAATTTGTTTTTAAAGATAAAAATACATCATGAATTTTTTCCAGTTAAACAGTACTACAGAGATTTTATTTGACCTATTGATCTTATACCCATACCAAAAAATTCTACTTCTCACCTGCACCAACTTAATTCATACTACTCACACGGTCTTAGAATAATAGTGCCAGGATGACTACCAGCAATATGAATAACAAAAACAGGGTAAGATTTTTTTTTAATAGTATTTTTTTGTTTGTTTTTAAAGGTATATTCTACTAGAAGGATGAGTCTTAAAGCACTTGAGATAGTTTTTCTTTTTTGTGGTTAGGCTACCAGCTGGATACAATGGTTTATTTATTTCCTTTTTTTTAAAGGATTGCTTTCTTTAATTCTGTTTCGTAATTATTTGTAATATTTATAGAATTCCAAAGGCAAAGCTACAAAGCCTGGTTTGTTCAAAGATATCTAGCTTCTATCCTTGTCCCCTCCATTCTAATCCCTCTTTCCTTTAGGTATTAATTATTATTGTCATTTTTAATCTTTATTTTTCCTTTATTTTTTAATTTTAATTTTAATTTTTTTATATTTATTTATTTTGTGTGTGTGTGTGTGTGTGTGTGTGAGGAGTATGAGCCCTGAGCTAACATCTGCCAATCCTCCTCTTTTTGCTGAGGAAGACTGGCCCTGAGCTAATATCCGTGCCCACCTTCCTCCACTTTATATGGGACTCTGCCACAGCATGGCCTGACAATGGGTGTGTCGGTGCGCACCCGGGCTCCGAACCCAGGCCGCCAGCAGCAGAGCATGCGCACTTAACTGTTACGCCACGGGGCCAGCCCGTTTTTTAATTTTTAAAATATAAGCAAGTGCACTTAAACTTTTTTATTGCCTCTCTCCTCTTATATAAATGGTAGCATACTGTATACATTTTTCTGTACCTTACTTTTCTTCACTTGATGTGTGCTGAATAACATTCCATACTAGTTTATAGAGATGTTCCTCCTTTCTTTTTACAACTGCATAGTACTCCATTGTAGATCTGTAGTATAGTTTATTCAGTCAGCCTTCTAGGGGTGCACATTTGGATTGTTTCAAATACTTTCCTTTTACAAATAATGCTGCAGTGAAAATCCTTAAGCATTCCTCTTTGAGATAGATTCCTAAAAGCGTGATTGCTAAAAGCATAAAGAAATTTCACTACTCACAGGGCCGGCCCGGTGGTGTAGTGGTTAAGTGCACATGCTCTGTTGCTGGTGGCCTGGGTTCAGATCCCAGGCACACACCAACGCACCGCTTGTCAGGCCATGCTGTGGTGGCGTCCCACATAAAGTGGAGGGAGATGGGCACGCATGGTAGCTCAGGGCCAGTCTTCCTCAGCAAAAAAAAAAACAAAAAAAAAAAAACAGGATTGGCATGGATGTTAGCCCAGGGCTGATCTTCCTCACACACAAAAAAAAAAAAAAGAAAAAGGAAATTTCACTACTCAGATAAAAGCACTTCTAATATTTTAGAGTTTATGGTTAAAGCTTATACAGTCATGCGTCACGTAACGATGGTTCAGTCATTGATGGACCACATATACAGGGGTGGTCCCATAAGATTAGTGCCATAGAGCCTGGATATGTAATAGGCTATACCACTTAGGCTTGTGTACGTACACTCTGATGTTTGCACAACGATGAAAACGCCCAACGACTATGTTTCTTAGAACATAGTCTCGTTAAGCAACGTGTGACTACTGTACGTGGATATGCATGAATATATGTGTATTTCTCCTCTCCTCTTTCCAAGTTGGGGTATAAAACATGCTTATCATGAGCATTGTATCATGTAAAATACCCTTTTACAACAGTTTAAATGGGTACATAGTTTCTATCTTATGGTATATCTAATTTATTTAACTGATCTTCTATTTTTAGACAACTTATTTCCACTTTTATACTGCAATAAAGGGTGTTTCAGTGACAATCTTTGTTTTACATGTATGTGTGTATATGTATATGTATTTTTGTTGTTTTTTCCTTTTAATATTCCTGTGTTCAGTCAGGTTGAAATACTCAATAGAATGGGTAATGTTCTCAATCTGAGTGGAGATGTGAGGGGTCCTGGTTAGCTGACAGGAGATGCGAAATTAAGTATCCTTCCCTGCCTTTTTAACTTTTTTCCCAGTAATGCTACTTTCTCTTATAATCTTCTGGTACCTCCAACTCTCTATTTCTTTGAATCTAATAATATCATTATCGTCTTAATTTGCAGATGGATTCTGACCAGGAATTACAAGGCTCTTGCCAAAGGAACAAGAGGCAGCACATCTGGTTTCCTTAATATTGTGATGGAACTCAAAAAATGCTGCAACCACTGTTACCTGATTAAACCCCCTGAAGAAAACGAAAGGGAAAATGGACAAGAGATTCTTCTGGTACGTGGGGACCTTGTTCGTATTTACTGTCTCAAAGACAGTTTAGTTGCCATAGATGCTTTTTATCAAAATGCTCTTTTTCCTCCTTTATGACTCTTCAAGGAGCATTAAAAGAAGCTTTAAAAAGCAGGTGAGAAAAGTTAAATAGCTAGGAAAAATCTGGAAACTATAGTGTCACAGATACCAGGTAAAGAGCATTCAGAAATTGCTTGTCAGCCAGATTGCAGATGGCTTTGAAAAGCTCAAAGATGATTTAAAAAGATGATTTAAAAATATGAACTCTTAGAGATTAAGGACAGATTGAAGTATTGTTTCGAACATGATGATTGGAATGTCTTTTCCATCTTCAGTCCCTGATCAGGAGCAGTGGGAAGCTGATTCTATTAGATAAACTGTTGACAAGACTTCGAGAAAGAGGGAACAGAGTACTTATCTTCTCACAGATGGTGAGGATGTTGGATATCCTGGCTGAGTACCTGACTATTAAGCATTATCCTTTCCAGGTAAGAATGCTGTTATTGGGGTCTCTCCCTTCCTCCCTCTCTCTCTCTGGGTTGTATGCTTTGCTTGCTGAATTATCCTAAAGTAGAAAACAAGAGTTTTCTTGCTTGAAACAAATTGAAATTAAGGTTCCAGGAGGGTCTTAATTTTTGCTTCCATGCCTTTAGGCTACCGTATAATGAAAGTGGTCGTGTGAAGATCATCCTTCTTTTTTAGAGGGCAAGAGGGCAGGGATTAGAGAAAGGAAAATTGGGCAAGAGAAAAGTACGTTAGGTGGTGTTTTGCATTTCCAAATCTGTGGTACAAGTGGAGAGGAAGGAAGTGTGAACCTGATTACAGAGGCCCTAATCCTAGAAAGAAAGAAGAAGAGAGAGGTGACAGTGTTGTACATTCATCCCAAAGGAAGGTCCTCTGGCTGTGGGGCTGGGCACTGAGCAGCACAGTGTACTTGAAAGCTTGCTGGTCCCTGAAGCGAGGGGTGATGGCTCCCCTCTGTGGAGTTGTCGCTGCAGATTTCGTCTTCCTTCAGTTATCTCCTTTAAGTTGAGGAGAAAAATAAGATAAGGGAACAAAGAGTTTCTTCAGCAGAATGATGTTTTTAGACTATGGGAAACTTATCTCTGATCTGTTTATAGACATGCATATAATTTAGTTTGACTTTTGGCATAATATTTTTATGGTGCTTTGATTTTTAAGATTTATTAAAAATTTTTTTTAACTTTGTATGGGTGGACTGTTCTACCAACTCATCTAATTATGCCTGTATTTAAGAAACTTAGAGTCAATGATTCTCTCCTAAGAAGGCTAAGCTTTAAAACTCACTAACAGATTGTCTTTCAACATACCCTGAAAGGCATTGTTATATCCATAATACCTTGTGTGGTCTTTCAGCAGCAGCTGTCTTAGAATGTAGTTTAATACTGTGGATATTATCCAAAATAACGCACACTACCAAAAGACAGTTATCTCTTAGTGTATCTGATCCCCGTGAGCTTTCAGGTCTAGTTAATCATTTGATATCAAGTAAAATAAGAAGGTGTTACTCTTCTCTCTAGGGGATAAGTAGACTGCAGTCCTCTCAGGTTTATCCTGCCTAATATCTGTTGTTAATGGGCGTATTAAAAGGAGAGCATTTGGGTTTTCTGACTTCAAATAATAGGCTATGAACCTGCCATTTAAACTTTTCTTTGAGTTAAGGCTCTGAGTGGAGTTGGAAGTCAGAAAGAAGAAAGGGGGTTCCCATATCCGATTTTGCTTGTGTTCAGGTGGCTCTGGGTCTGGTGGGCAGAGCTCTGAGCTGTGGAGATGTAGGTCCTTCCACAGACTCTGCTCCCAGCTAGTCATTGATCACTGGCCAGCTGACATCATCTCTCGGGTCAGTTCTGCCTTCTGTAAAATGAGGTATTTTGTTCAAGTGGTGATTGTGAGGGGAAAAATGTGAAAGTGATTTTTAAAAGAGTAAGAAATGCTTTATATGTACAATATACAGGTAATAATTCTTCAGTATTTATTTTATATGTTATATGGTTTCTCTAGGACGGTGTTGTTGTGGACCTAGAACTGACATATACTCTAATAAAAGGAATTGTACACACTAAGTAAATGCCAGAGGCTCTCTTGAAGATGCATTCTCACTGCTTGAATACTTTGCACTGACTGTAGAGTGTAATTTTGAAAGAGCGGGAATATGATCAATTTAATTTTAACATTTTCAATTATGGCAAAATGTTTTCTAAACAAAATTATGTAAATAACTTTTTGGTTTTTGTAGCACTTAATAACTGGGCAACTTTTAGCCACATTAGCTAAGAAGCGTCATTTTTCTGCAGGAACTAATTATTAGGTGACCAGTGGTAGTATTTCCTAATCTCTTCAGTCCTCACGGATGTAGAAGCAAGCAAAACCTCTAGCTTGGGTTGCCATCTTTCTCCTTATAGGTCCTGGCAGCCATTCTGATCCTTGGATAAACCTAGATAGTCCTTTGAATCAGAAGCTTCTGACCTTGAGTTTGTAACCGGAGAGCTTGGGGCAAGTAGAGTGTGCTGCTTAAGCACAGCCCATTGACAGCATTTTGCCAGTGCATTCCAGTTATTTTTACTCAGTGGGTGTTGGAGTGATAAAGGTTGCAAGTCTTGGTGTTCTATTCTGAGTGTAGCTGATCTTCCTACCTTATGATTTTCTTGTTTATTTTTACAGCGTCTGGATGGTTCCATCAAGGGAGAAATCCGAAAACAGGCACTGGACCACTTCAATGCAGATGGGTCTGAGGTACACCATGCATGACTTTGTTATTTGAGCAGCTTGGGCTCTAAATCAAGGGGAAGGCCTTTCTAGTTAAATATATTCTGTTTTAGAAACATTTCACAATGCAATTCTCCTGCCTTGAGAAGGGAAAGAGAAATCACTAATATAAAAGATACCTCTTAATTTTGTTATTTGTTGCTCCAGAAAAGCATATGCATGCTTGTTTCTCTCTCGGGTCAGTTTTGGATTAATCCATTAATCCCTGGTCTGGATTAATGACAGGGTAGTTCTGATATCAACTGAGTGTTGTTTGGTGACTTCCAGATACCAAATTTCTGGGCCTAGGAGAGCAGCAAGGCAAGGGTGGGGGAGCGCTGGCCAGTAGGATTCATTTTGACATGTATGTTACATCAGAAGGTTTTGACCTGTTCTGTTTTGGTGACTGAGGCTTGAAAAGTACGTTTGCCTTGTGTCAGATTTGTTGGGCTCCTGGTACGATGTGACTTAACGTTCTTGCTTTGGCTTACAGCAGCATTTGTTAATCAGTAAGTGTCCAGCTTGGATTTGACGTTATAAAGTATTTTGTTTTTAAGCCACATACAGAAGAGCTAGTTAGGACAAGTTAGAAAACATGGTGACATTGTAGTTTGTGCATATCAAACTATAAAATACCATGGGATTTGAGAGAAGTGGGATGAGGAGAGGTTTAGTGTTGGTAACGCTGTGGCAATGTGTAGAGGTAAAGGAAGCCATGGAGAGAGCCAGAAGTAGAACTACAAGTGTTTTGGAGAGAATGTTAGAACTTCTGAAGCCTGGGCCACTATTTTGTATACATAAAACAGACTTAACTTTCTGCTTTCTGAAGAGCTTTGAACACTCTTACTGTCTGTGTCTGTTACTCCAGAATGATGTGACTTCTGCCTCTAGAATTGCACATAGTCCTATATAGAATATAGTGTTCTGGCTGCTTGTTTAGCCTAACATTTTAGTTCTTGAGGAACTTTGGGCACTACTCTCTTCAGAACCAAGGCTCTGAATAGTTAAGGAGAAGAGGAATTGAATTACTAAAAACATTGATCATGATCTAATTCCCATCCCTCCTTTCTCTCCTATTTCCTCAACTATAAAATCATGATAATTCCAATACTTCACAATATTGCTGTAAAGATTAAATGCAGTAATCAGTATATAGCACTGAGCGCACTGTCTGGCATATACAGTCATGCGCCGCATGACGATGTTTCTGTCAGTGACAGATTGCATGTACTATAGGGGTCTCATGAGATTAGTACTGTGTAGCTAGGTGTGTAGAGGCTATACCATCTAGGTTTGTCAGTACACTCTGATGTTTGCACAATGACGAAATCACCTAACGGTGCATTTCTCAGAACATATCCCCATCGTTAAGTGACACATGGCTGTAGTCAGCACTCAACAAATGTTAGCTATTTTTATTATTTAGTATTTTTTGAAATTGGTTTTATGTTCTCTACTCTTAGTTTAAAAAAATAGTATGAGTTAATGTTTTGTGTTTTTATTTCTCAGGAAAAAGCTAAAGTTGCTTTTTTTATAATTCTCAATTGGCCCCCCTGCCCCATGGCTATATATAGTGTATAAGTTCTCTACCATTTTCTGCAAATCTGAGTCTTTTTTTAATTAATTAAAATTAAATACTATATCATTGGGGGAAGATGTATGCACATTTAGAAAATTGGAAGATGGTGAAAAGTACAAAGAAGAAAAATTCTACAAAATTCTCATCCCAGAGACAATTTGCCATTCACATCATTTGAGTGTATTTCCATTCATACTGGATGGAACCATTTATTTCTTTATATATTTACCTGATTGGGATCATACTGCATGTAATTTTGTTGTCACCTTTCATTCAAAATTATACTTTGAGCATTTTTCTCATGTCATTAAAGATTTTTAAAAACTTTAATTTCTAATATTTTCTCAAGCCTGTACTGTTATTTATTTAACCGTTTGATTGTTGTTGGATGTTTAGTTAAGAGGATATGAGCATTTTAAAAACATTTTGCTAGATTACTTTTCCCAGTTTATATTCGTATTGTTTATGTATGAATATTTCCATTTTACCTCACCCTTAGCAGCATGGAGTTTCATAATTTTTAACCTTTGTCAATTTGATAATAGACACAAATGACATCTCATCATAATTCATATTCTCTTTGATAAAGAGTGACATTGAGAATGGTTTATATGATCATTCAGACCCAGATTTTATTTAAGGTTTAGGTATCTCATTCTAATGAGTGTCCACTATTCACCTGCAGACTTCTCTTTAGAGTGTGGTGTTTCTTGGTATTTCTGCCAAGGGTCACAGAGTGTGTGCTGCCTCAACACACCTGTTGATCAGTTCTTTATTGGAATTATTTAAAGTTCTTGTGAGACAACTATCTCCATTTTTATTTCTATGGCATAATGTTGGTAAATGTGACTTGGTTAGAATGTGGAGATCTTTTCATTGCATCTATGTATGTATATTAAAAGTTCCACTTACCAAAATATAACTCACAACTACCAGTTTTTGAGTGCCACTTCTGTGCCAGAAAGGTGTCAGCCTTTGAGATGTCTGATCAAATTATCTGAAAACAGAAATCTGTTTGGCTTTCTTTTTCTCTGGCTTGTATAGTTTATTCTCTGCCTCCTGCCCATATTTTTCTGAGCACTCAGACGCAGGCAGGTGTACCATGCCTGCCCAGTCTCTTATCTTTGCTGGGGAAACTGGAATATGTCAGTGCCTGGGTCTTTCTCACACATGGCTCTTCAGCCACACCTCTGGTTTTCTTTGTGCATGTTCTTTGGGATTGAGGATCTTGTGCTTCTCAAAAGTTCTGTCTTGTGATCTTTAGTGCAGTGTTTCTGTATTCCTCAGCAGCCTAACAAATGGGTGGACATTTACGTAATCAAATTTCCTTATTTATACTGACTGCTGTACATGGCATAATCCACCTTTATCTGGAAAATAAATATCTAGGCAACTTGCTGGAATGATCCCCTTGATGATTAATTTTGTCTGGTTTTTGTTAACTGCTTGTATACTAGTTTTAGCCAGAGGAGAACACTGACTCTTTTGCTCCTGTTGTCTTGCCAGATTCTACTTTACTCCTTGGTTCACTGCACTGACTCTTACCTCTTAATCAAATGAAAATACACTCTGCCATCAAGTCCTTGGCATTCTTTTAGCCTCCATAAAGTTTGTCCATCATATCTCACTTTTCTTCACACCTGCAGGGGTTTCCAGGTTAAGGGCTTATTGGACTGTGAAACTGTTTCTGAGAAGGCCACTGCATAAAGTAGTATATTGCATTGTGTACAGGACTTCTGTTTCCTGCTCTCGACAAGGGCTGGTGGCCTGGGAATCAATTTGGCTTCAGCGGACACAGTCGTCATCTTTGACTCTGACTGGAACCCCCAGAACGACTTGCAGGCACAAGCCCGAGCCCATAGAATTGGTCAGAAGAAGCAGGTTAGTGGTGAGCGGCTTCTGGAGATGGCTTAGGGGAAAGGGAAAGAGGGAGTTATTGTGCTCTTTCAGGATGTTTGTAAAATGCTTTTTTTCCTATTTTGCTTTCATTTCCCCAAGGATAGATGTCTGTTAATTAGTACAGAGAAGATGTCTTTGGGGCTAAGATGAACTGTTCTCTTTTGCTGTTTGAAAAGTACATCACCAGTGACTTTCTGGTTTACCTCAAGAAAGAGATATGATGAAGAGACTTAGAACTGAAATTTTTCTCTATTTTAATATGGAGGAGTTGTTAAATATTCTAACATTGTTCAAAATGGTCTATTTTTATTATACATGACAATGTTAGCTCTGAGGTATGTTGAAAAGTACATGCTTGTTCCCTTCATATATGAATTTCAAAGTCTGCTCTAGTATTGGGTAACTCATAAATTTCATACACAGCCAGAGATTCAGTTTTGGTGAAACTTTCTGTCCGTGAAACTGATTCTTCTTTAGCAAGATGTTTATCGTTAGAACGAGGCTGTGATAACAGTTCTTTAGAGGCAGTTTTATTTAAGAATGTAATCTGCTGCAGATAGTAAAAATATTGCCTCTACTTAAGCTGCCTACTTGGATGGATGGCTTACAGTCATTTATGGTAATAGAGAACAAATCTTTTTTTATTTCTTCTCTTGGTTTTAGACAGACATACCTTTTTTTTTTTTTGGTGATCAGTCATAAGCATAAAATTTCCTTTTCCTATAGGTAAATATTTACCGCTTGGTTACAAAGGGGACGGTGGAGGAGGAGATTATAGAACGGGCCAAAAAGAAGATGGTATTGGACCATCTGGTGATTCAGCGCATGGATACGACTGGTCGGACGATCCTAGAAAACAACTCAGGAAGGTCCAAGTAAGTGCCAGAAAGATGGGGGAAGTAGGCAGACTCAAACTGATTTTACATCAGCATTTGATAGAATTCATCCTTCTAATAGGATTCTCTACAACTGATGTTAGTCCATTAATTACCTGGAAAAGGCCAAGCCAAGACCATAAAGAGATGGCGTGTTCATTTTATTTTGTTTTCCCTGTTTCTTTTTTTTTTTTTGCCTATCAGCCCTCTGCTTATGTGCTCTCTCTCTTTCTTTCCTGCCCCTCTCTTGCCTTTTGCTTTTGGCTGTGCGTGTGACATATGACACAGCAGCAGCACTGGCAGCTGTGTGCACCCCGTTAGGCTTTGATTTCGGCACAATGTTGTCTTGGACTTTTCAGCAGTGAGAGTCCACCAGATTGAATTAGCAGCTGTTTTCTTACTATTGGTAAAAATGTTTGTGTGGACATTGTTATTTTTCTTATTGAAAACAGAAGAGTATAGAAGGAAAGTAGTCAAGTTTCAATTGGCTTTATTTGGAAGCACAATTTCTCACACAGAGTTTACATTTTGACCAAATCTTTGAGTGTCTTCTGTGGCAGTCCTTCAGCTTGTGTTAAAGGTGAAATCAAGTGAGCCCTTACTAAATACACTATTTTCAGATAATTATCCATTCAAGAGTAACCAAATGGAAAAAGCTTTGTTCTTTGTTTTGGACCAGAAGTGAAGAGGTTGAAAATTCTTGGTGAATAACTTTCTTTTTTTTTTTTTTTTTATGGTTTTTTTGTTTCATTTTTTCCCCCCCAAAGCCCCAGTAGATAGCTGCATGTCATAGGTTCACATCCTTCTAGTTGCTGTACGTGGGACTCGGCCTCGCGTTGGACGGAGAAGTGGTGCCTCGGGGCGCGCCCGGGATCCGAACCCGGGCCGCCAGCATCAGAGCGCGCGCACTTAACCGCTAAGCCACGGAGCCGGCCCTAACTTTCTGAGTCAAAGGACAAAGAGAGAAATCACTTCTTTTATGTCGTTAATTATCTTTCTTGCTTAACCATGTAGTAGATGAGCCAGTAGGAAAACAGTTGATTTCCTAGTTTTCTGCTAAATTAGGTTTACCGCCACAGAGTCATCATGGATTAAAAAAAAAGAAGAAATATTTGAGAGATCATTTTTCTTGGGGCAGAATTTATATTTTCACCAGTAATTGGATCCATTTATAAAGGATAGATATTCTGTAGAACTCCATAGAAGTTATTTGACATTCCTAAGAGATTACAACTACATTTTACTTTTACAGCTCAAATCCTTTTAATAAAGAAGAGTTGACAGCTATTTTGAAATTTGGAGCAGAGGATCTCTTCAAAGAACTTGAAGGGGAGGAGTCAGAGCCTCAGGTAATTAACAATGAAAAAATTTTTTTGACAAGTATCATCTGTGAGAGTGTAAATTTTTCTGGAAGCAGATTCTGGCTCTCTTAGATGCTTTTATAAAGAAATAGTAATTACTTGAAGGACATGGTTTCTTGTTTTTCTTCTGGAGCTCAAAGCTTTTACTAAATTGAATAGGCAAGAAGGAGAAAAGCATTTGAGGGTGCTTTGTTCTTTTTTATTCCAATTTTATTTCTTGTAATTTCTGAAGTTACATCTTGTCATTTGTATAAATAATAGTTTGAAACTTTAGGTGTAAAAGGTATAAACTTGAGTAATGTAAAAGTAAATGGAATATCAGAAAGGCGCTTTAGTTTATTTGCACCGAACATTTGCAGTCATTGCTGATCACAATTGCCATTTTACCATATTTGTGTCGCTCTTCCTTTAGGAAATGGATATAGATGAAATTTTGCGCTTGGCTGAAACGAGAGAGAATGAAGTGTCAACAAGTGCAACAGATGAGCTTCTATCACAATTTAAGGTATGAAAATCGTTGTGGGAGAGAGTCTTCAGCATTGATTCATTAACTATTAATAACTGAAGTCTGTACTTCCTGTGTGCGAGGCACTCTACTTTTCTCTTTATGTAAATTGACTCGTGTCTTCAGTATCATTCTCTTGAGTTCCTAGTATGTTGTGAGTGTAGATTCAGTCTTCTCCATGAAGGTAGCCACTGAAGTGGTACATCCTGCTCAGTCAGTGAGTAGAGGAAAAGAAGTTGGTGAGGAGGGCTGAGAATATGCTGTCAGTGGAAAGGTGAAAAACTAGATAGTGTGGAGCTCTAGGAGGTGTGGAGGGGTAGTGGGAGAGAGATTAATAGAATCAGATGACAAAGAGAGGTCAAAGGTGTGAAAACAGAAGGTGACAGTTGGGAAGTTCTTGATGACTTGGGATTGTTTTTTTAAGAGCAGTTACAGGGTGGTCACTGGTAATATGATATAACAAAATTCAGTGAGATCAGGACTAAATGCAGAAGTTGGGCACCAAATGTATAGGAGGTGGCAGCATTAAGTATAGACATTATTAAAAAGCTTAGTGAAGAGTACAGTGAAGGTAATTTGTGAGGATAGAGGGGTCAAGCAAAGCAAGGTTTTTGAAAGATATTACCATGTTTCTAGGTTAAGGAAAGAACTTGAGAATAGGGAGATATGGAAGGTTCTAAGGAAAGATGGAAAATTTCATGACACATTGCCCCAGAGCAGACTGGAAGGGATGTAATCAAAAGCATAGATGGAGGAGTTGGCTTTTGAAACAAAAAGGAAAGTACATTATAAGGAATGGGAGGGGAGAGAAGATGTGGAAGTTCCAGTTGGTGACCTTAATTACCAGTAAAGTAAGTGAGGTATTTGCTGAGAACTGGAAAAGATTTGGGACGACCATGGGTGGGGCCAGGAGTTGCTAGGAGGAGCTTGATAGGGAGTAAGCTGAATTTAGAAGATATGGTTTCACCTTGGAGCCACCCAGCAGGGTCATATGACTTTCTCCAGCAGTACTTGAGGTCAGAGAAATTGCATCAGTTTCTGATCCCAAGGTAGGGAATTGGCTTGGGAGGTATTGGAGAGTCAAGGTGGCAGAGGTTTCCCAGATTCAAGTGAGAATGTGGTTGAAAGGATTGGCTGTGGGTTGGTTCCATACAGGTTAGAGAGGCAGGGGAGACCTGGAGGTTACAGTGATGGTTAAGCGCTGTGGAAACATTAGGATTAAGGAAGAAGTGGGTGAAGTGTTTGGAAGGAAGCAGTATTGTGTGATGAGGTCCAAGGTTCGCCACAGGTGGAAGTTATCTCAGTGGAAGAACAAAGGAGCTGAGTATATCAAAAGCTCTAGGATCAGAGAGTTATTAATGTGTCTGAGGATGCAGAAGATGGAGGTGAATTACTAGTGTTTCAACTGGATTCCACTTCTATGAGTACTGCTCCCTTCTTAAACAGAAGTAATCTTCATGATGGTGTCTTGGCCAGAATATTGTATGATTGTTTAGGTATAAAAATTTCTGTATGTTACAGGTTAATCAAAAGTAGTCAGTACATTGCAGGTGACTCTTGCCTTTCTAAAGCCCTTTTGGCCATTATGTTTCAGCACCTGGTCAAGTGATTTGATAAAAGTAGGAGTCTGCTTACCCTAGGGGCTCTCTATTTCTGGAGTGCTTCAACTGAGTTGACTTGTATTTTTCCTGATAACGTTTTTTTTTTCACCCTAATTTAACATGTTGGAAACACAGCAAACATTTTCTTGAGACAACTTAAGATTACCATTTTCTTCAGTAGTAATAACCAACATTTGTATAACTCTTACTATACTTTAGGAACTGTTTTAAGTACTTTACATATATTAACTCCTTCAGTTCTGTGATGAAGTGTAGGTACTAGTATTATTTTCATTTCTTAATGAGGAAACTGAGGCACAGAGAGGCTAAGTAGATTCCCTGAGGTCACACATATGTGGAGTTGTGATTACATCCTAGGCTAGTGGTCTCGCCTGCAGAGTCAGACTCTTAACCACTATGCCACCCTTGGAAAAGTTAAATTCCCAACTGCATGAACCCCCAACATATTTATTTCAATTTATATCATTTTCATGTGGCTGTTTTGAAAGTCAGATCTAAAGTAATTACAAACAGTGCTTAATTTAAGAGATTGGTCAAATGATTCATTTTATGAAATAGAAAAATGTTGAATTTTCAATCTCAGAAATTACACCTTGTTTTTTCTTGGAATTTAAAAAAATTTGATTGTGAAGATCATGCTATCCATGTTGGAAGTTAGAGTTAGTTTTGACCAGAAGTAGTGAAGTTCTGATTTCCCTGAGAGCTCCAAGTGACTTTGAGGAATGGAGTCTTCCAAAGCTCTTTTGTAGTTCATTATAGTCACAAAGGCTAGGTGGGAAGTAATAAAAAGAATGTGGATCCCAGGCCTGGGGCCTGCCCACCACTGCTCAGAGGCTGGGCAGAGTGTGGATGTTTCTGTGTGGCCATTGTGTGTGTCGTTGAAATGCACGCACTTAGATGGTTTTCTTTCTAGGATACATACTGTTTCAGTACAAATAGGTATCATATATTAAATATGTGACACAAAGTAAATGGAATATTCTTCCAGGTTTGTTTGAATGTTTTGTATTTTATGTTCTCATTTTCATTCCTAAGGCTAACGAGCACTTTTGAGCAGATGAAATCATTACACACCTTTAGCTTCTGTACTTTTGATAAAAATGAATAAGGTAACCAGTTGGCTAGATGATAGTTTGTGCTTTGAATTATGCATTGTTTCAAATGAGCTCTATTAAGTAGCAATTTATAATTTATAGAACTCTAAGTTCATAATGGATTAGTGTTAGGTATTCAGCATTTTATAATCTAAATAAATCTAAATGTTCTAATTTGTATCATTTATCAGAAAATATATATGATTTAACAACAATTAAAACTTGTAAGACATTTTGTATCTTTATATCTGTTTCCCTACTTTTCTGTAAAATTTCTGATGAACTCTTAAGGGTTTGCTAAGTTGATTTTGGGGGGAGAAGGGAGAGGTTAGTAGCAGATTGGTTATTTGGTTATGTAATATCGTAAGAGTTCTGTTATTATTCTTAGCATCTTACGTTTGAAACACTGGATGAGTTGGTCGTTTAGCAGATGGTGTTTGGGAAATAGGGAAATGTCAGTCAGACAATGGGTTGTGCATTTGTTTTAAGGTTGCCAACTTTGCAACAATGGAAGATGAAGAAGAGCTGGAAGAACGTCCTCACAAGGACTGGGATGAGATCATTCCAGAGGAGCAAAGGAAAAAAGTGGAGGAGGAGGAGCGGCAGAAGGAGCTGGAAGAAATTTATATGTTGCCTCGAATTCGGAGTTCCACTAAAAAGGTGATCAAGTGAGATGAAAGATCTGAAAGTACTTATTATGCTATAAAGGCTACGGAAGTGCTGATTATTCAAGGAAGAGGCTTGCATTGTTGCCCTGACATGCGGGGTTCCAGGGCAGTGATAGGAAACCTAGCAGAGGGAAACGGCAAAATGCACAGGGCTTATGAGCATACCTGTGAGGCATTTGATCTTTGCAAATTGGCTCTTGGTGAGATGGCTGAACAGGATTTGAGTTTGACAGAAGCTTGCATTTTGCTGTTGAAGTTAGAACCTAACAATTTTGTTCTAATTGGCAGTGCTTTTGACTTTCAGAGTCAAACCTCTTTTTGCCTTTGTTTGTTTATAGCACTTGATATAAATACTTAGCAAGAGATTATATAACTGTAAACAAAGAACATACACATACTTCGCAGCTTACAAAGCCCCATCACAAGCACTCTCTAATTTGATTTTTGCAACGGCATCGATGTAGGTAGAATAAGTTTTATTACCCAGTTTGTTGAAGATGATAGACTCAGGTTTGTCCAGATCGTGGTAAATCAGTATTGGCTAGTAGTAGCTACCATTTTTTGAGCACCAACTGTGTGCCAGGCATAGTTCTAAGTGCTTTTACACTAATTGACACATTTAATCCTCATGAAAACCCCTTATTATAGGTACTATTATCCCCATTTTACAAATGGAAAACAAAGGCACAAAGAGGTAAAGTAACTTGCCCAGAGAATTAAACATGAACCTACAATCCAAATATTTTTATTCCAGTTCACTTATCATTACATTTCAATATGTCTCTGGAAGTATGGATATCTCCAACAGGTCTTCCTTTATCACATGACATCTGCCTCCTTATTTCTTAAAGGAAAATTGAATTGTCTGATATGATGGGAAGTTCTGAGTACCAGAGAATTAAGATGGGCTGGTCTTAGTACTTAGACATCTTGGACCTGGGGCTTGCTATAATGTGACTTTGCCTTTTCAGGCTCAGACAAATGACAGTGACTCTGACACTGAGTCTAAGAGGCAGGCCCAGAGATCCTCTGCCTCTGAGAGTGAGACAGATGACTCTGATGATGACAAGAAGCCAAAGCGCAGAGGGCGCCCCCGAAGTGTGCGGAAGGACCTCGTAGAAGGATTTACTGATGCGGAGATCCGAAGGTTGGTAGAGGCTCTGCTCTCACTTGTTTGGGAGGGCATGATGAAGCCTTGGGCTAATTGCATCCCTGATGTTTATGACAGGGTGGGCAGAGGCTCATACCTACAAGAAAGGCAAGAGAGACTGAGTCCTGCCCCAGGTATCTGGGATGCTGCTTCTTTTTCCAAGGTTTTCCTCAGTTGAGCTCTCTCTTTTGTTTCCTTCCTGTTCTGTGCTTATTTTCACAAAGAAGATCCAGCCAAGAGAAGAGAGACAACTGGAGGTAAACTTAGGCTGAAACTTTCTTTTTTGTTTTAATTCAAGAATATGAATACACACATGCATACATATATATGTGTGTGTGTGTATCTGTATATGTAAAAGAAACAGTATAAATCTAAAAAATTAAAATGGTACAGATAAGGCTACCCAACCTCCTGGTCCACTTCCCATCAGTGTTAGTGCTGATATCAGTTTGCTGGTGATTTGGTTTGGTTTATTAGTGGTATATACCACGTATTGTTCTGCAGCTTGCTTTTTTTCCACTTGTAATCAATTTTAGACATCTTTCTGTATCAGTACTTATTCCACATTTGTTGCTGTCTGATTCACACCCCTCTGCCCTCCAAAGAAAAGGAGATCTAAAATTGTTGCTTCCAAATCATTTTTTTCCATTTCCATGTTATTTTTTTAAAAGGCTGAAGAAAATAGAAAGTATGAAGATAGTTAACTTTGTGCTCTAATCCATATTATAATTCTATCAAACAGTCCTTTTAGGTCAATATATTTGAAACCATAAGGTCTTTATTTTCCCCTAAATGTTGTACATATTCTTTTCTTTTTTTCTTTAATTTATTATGCAAAAATGTAAATATATACAAACATTGATAGAATAGAATATAAATCACCCTCACAAACTCATCATCTTAACCATTTTGAATTCGTAGTCAATCTTCTATGTATATTCTACTTTCTCTTACTCCTTGCTCCCAGTATTATTTTGAGAAGAATGTGTATTCTGCTGTAGTTGGGCAGAGTGTTCTTTTTTTTGTTTTTTTTTTTTGTGAGGAAGATCAGCCCTGAGCTAACATCTGTGCCCATCTTCCTCTATTTTGTGTGGGACGCTGCAACAGCATGGCCTGACAAGCAGTGTGTCATTGCGCGCCTGGGATCCGAACCCCGGGTCGCCACAGCAGAGCGCACGTGCTTAACCGCTGCACCACCGGGCTGGCCCCCCAGAGTGTTCTATAGATGTTTTTTAGGTCTGTTTGGTTTAGTGTTGTTGAAGTCTTCCGTTTCCTTGTTCTTGAATAGATGTGTGAGGGGGAGTGAAGTCAAGAACAATTTATGGTGACGTCACTCCCACATATCCTTACAGATCTTCTGCTTGGTTGTTCTATCCATTATTGAAAATGAGATGATGAAGTCTCTAACTGTTATTGTTGTATTGTCCATTTCTCCCTTTAATTCTGTCAGTTTTTGCTTCATGTGCTTTGGGAGCTCTGTTGTTGGGTGCGTATATTTTATCGGTGATACATCTTGGTGGATTGGCCCTTTTATCATTATAAAATGTCCTTTTTTGTATCTTGTAACAATTTTTGTCTTAAATTCATTTTTTGGTCTGATAATAGTATAGCCACTCCAGCTCTCTTTTGGGTAGTGTATGCATGGTATCCTTTTTTATCTTTTTTTATTTCAATCTGTTTATGTCTGAATCTAACTTGTGTCTCTTGTAGGCAGTATATAGTTGGATCTTTTTTTTAAAAATCCACTCTGTCAATCTCTTCCTTTTGATTGGAATCTTTGATCTATTTATATTTAATGCAATTACTGATAAGGTAGAATTTACATCTGCATTTTACTCTTTGTTTTCTATATGTCTTTTTTTAGTCCTTTAGTCCTGTTATTGCCTTCTTTTGTATTACAGATATTTTTTTGTATACCATTTAAATTCCTTTGGTGTTTCTTCTACTATATTTTTAAAGTTATTTTATTAGTGGTTGCCCTGGACATTACAATTAAAATCTTAACTTAGAAGATAACTAAATCCAAATTTAGTTTGGATTAATACCAACTTAATTTCAATGGTATGTTAAAATTTTACTCCAATATAACTCCATTCCTCCCTCCTCTTTTGTGCCATTTTTGTCACACAAATTCTATCTTTATAAGCCCATCAACACAGTTTTATAATTATTGCTTTATGCAGTTGTTTTTTAAAATCAGATAGGAAAAGAAAAGAGTTACAAACAAAAATACGTTTATACTATCTATATGTTTATTTACTCAGTGTCCTTACTGAGGCTCTTATTTTTTCATGGGGATTTGAGTTAGTGTTTAGTGTCCTTTCATTTCTGCCCACAGGACTCTCTTTAGTATTTCTTTTAGGGCAGCTCTGCTAGCAACAAATTGTCTACTTTTGTTTATCTGGGACTGTCTTAATTTCTCCTTTGTTTTTGAAGGATAGTCTTCATTATTTTAGTTCAACTTCTGGACTACCTCAGAACATTTCCATTGGCTGCTTTTTTTCCTGTATATGGGCCAATCTTTCTTGTTTCTTTGTCCCATAATTTTTTGTTGAAAACTGGACGTTTTACGTAATATAATGTGGCAAGTCTGGAAATCAGATTCCCCCTGCCAGCCAGAATTTGTTGTGTTTGCTGTTGTTGCTGTTTGCTTATTTAGTAACTTTCCTGGACTAGTTCTGTGAAGTCTGTATTCTTTGTCATGTCATTTGAAGGCTCTGCTCATTTAGCTTAATGGTCAGCTAATGATTGGACAGAGATTTCCTTAAATGCCTTCATCCAGTAAGTCTACCAGCCTTTGCTGAAGGGCTCCATGTGTATGTTGGGGCAGGTTTTCAATGCTCTGCAGGCAGTGTACAACTCGGCCTTATCTTTCAGTTTCTGCTTGTGTAGAGCCTCAAGGCCAGTCAGAGGGGAGAGATTAACAGCTTCTCAGGTCTTTCCTGTGCATGCGCATAGCCCTACACGTGTCTGGCCTTCTAGATTCTCAGTAATATGTCAGATTTTTTTCAAAGCCCCCCTGTGGGCATCTTTTCCTCCTAATTTTTCCTTTTCAAGTTTTGGTCAACCTATTGATATCCCCAACTGGTAACGTTGCCTCAGGCAGCTGTGGTGTTAAACCTTTGCCTCTAATTGTTTGTGGCCAATGAACTATGAACAGCGCTCTTCACACAGGTCAAATGAAGACAGGCCTGAGAATGGAGCTTCTCAGGGTGCTGACAGTTAGGTCAAATAGCACTGTTATCTGGAGAAAGAGCTTTTAGGGAGCTCCAAACATGTTCTGCCACTTCCAGTGGCTGCTACGCTGCTACTTTGCACTACTATTATAGTTGCAAAAGTGTTGGTCTTCAAGGCTGTTATGGAGCTGGGGAGAGGAGCCTGGGAATAGAGCAAGTTAAAATGCCAGAGAGCACACGATTCTTACTGAGATTCAGCCATTTTCTTGAATAAATGCCCCTTAGATGGCTGCAAGCCTTTGGTTAATTTCCAGAGTTCCAACAAAGTTGATTTTGACAGTTTTTGCCAGTGTTCTTCTTGCTTTTATGGAGGAGCAGGTTTTCAGAAGTCCTCACTCCACTATTCCAGAAATCCTTCTCCATCTCAGGATTATTTTGAAGTAAATCCCAAATGTCATATTTCAGATGTAAAATATTTCAGTATATATCAAGAAGGAGAAACGTAGAGTTGAGGAATAATCCTCAGATTCACTTTCACATATAACTCTTTCCTAATCCTCGTGTCCATGCTGTTCTTTTAATATTCTTTCTTAGCTAGTGTCATATTCATTCCCATTTTCTTCAATCGCCATGCCTCTATTTCTGTTTTTTTCCCCATATTATCTCTGCTTACACGGTTAACTAACCAGATTATTTTAGTAATTTGACATGTTACAGTGAAGCCCTTAATGTATAGTGACATCTTGCTTTCTAGTGAAAGTGCTAGTGGTTAGCTGTAGGGAGGGGAGCAGATGACACATGGAGTGGCATATAGCATGGTTTAGCGTAGAGACTGGTGAAAAGATAGACTGGATTTTTGGTTGGAGACAACATTGGGCAGAAGGAGTCAGCATAGTTTCCTGAGTTTTGCCCAAGACTTAAGTTTTCAATCATATATTTATTTTACTTTGCCTCATTCCAAAAAGTATTTGAGGCAGTCCTAAAAATCTTATAGTTGTATATTATTAACCAGAAAATAATGAAAAATATTGCAGTATGGAATTGAAAGTAGCAGTAGTGGACTGAATAGACCAGTTAATTATGTTGGGACTTGATCACAAGAGTTGTGGTGATTGAATCATCTATTACTTATTGAACTCCATAAACTTGTACCTTCTAAAAAAGGTAATATTATTACAGTTAAGTCACTGTTCTCAATTATGTCCCTAAGCATTTTCATGATCAGTCACTGAGAATAAAATTAGTCTTTAGTTTGAATAGATTTCTGGCACTCATTATTTTAAGTTGGCCATTTTCAAAGGCATTCAACATTCATTCATTTAGTGGTACTTGCTAGGATTGGGGTCAGTCTGTTTTTGACAGTTTGCATGGCTCATGCAGTCATGTGCTGCATAACAACATTTTGGTCAATGATGGACTGCATATACGACGGTGGTCCCATAAGATCAGCACCATGTAGCCTAGGTGTGTAGCATACTGCACCATCTAGGTTTGTGTAAGTACACTCTGTGATGTTCACACAATGATGAAATTGCTCGACGACGCATTTCTTAGAACGTATCTCTATCGTTAAGCAGCACATGACTGTACTTCGTCATAGGATTTGTTTGCATTAACATAGTTAAAAGTTTCTGGTTTTTAATGTGTTTTATTTATCATATTTTTAGGTTCATCAAGGCATATAAGAAGTTTGGTCTCCCTCTTGAACGGTGAGCTTAGTAATAGTTCTTTATCTGCCTCTTTTTCACTTTTATTATGTAGCAGTTTCTTTTTTGGTACTGTTTTCCATTTAAGGTCTGGCACCTTTTGACAGCCTGATTTTTAGACATTAATGTATTCACATGCTTCATACGATTTGGAGATGAATGAAACATAATTTGTAGAAGTAACTGTACTTTGCTTTTAGGAACATTGCAATGAATGGAAGTAGGCTAGAAAAGGAAAGTGAACACAAAGAAGCAGACTAGTGCAAACAGTTTTTGGACACTTCACCTGCTACCATTATTAGCCTATTTAGTTATTAAAGAAAGCTGAACCCTTTTCCTTCTGTTTTTTGAAACTTACTTTGTTTTGTGGACTATTCCAAGGCATAATTCTTTATGATGGAAAATGAGTAAGTTAGCCCTCAGTCACTGTCAGAGGGTTTTTGTTGGAGCCTTGGAATGATCAGTTAAGGAATGTAGAGAAAAGTGTTTTTGCAGAAGCAAGCTTATATGAGACCAACTGGTATCTCATGTGACATTAGAAAAGTGGGCACAAGGCCTTGAAGTATCCCTGTATTTGTCTTTCCTCAGGCTGGAATGCATAGCACGTGATGCTGAGCTAGTAGATAAGTCTGTGGCAGATCTGAAGCGCCTGGGTGAATTGATTCACAACAGCTGTGTGTCAGCAATGCAGGAATATGAAGAACAACTGAAAGAAAATGCCAGCGAGGGTAAGTCAAGTCTATTTCAGTGATTCTCCAAAACCTGGCACTTATGGACTGGGATTTCTGCTGCTAAAGGGCCTTTTTTAGAAGAACAGACTGGTATCTCATGCATCTCTAATCCTTTGAGGTGTGTATTCTGACCTGCCTTTATGTGAGCTCAGTGCTGTAAGATCCCAAAGATTTACTCACAAACGAAGTTGATTTGCAGAAGGTGCAGAGTAATGAACAAGATGAATGATTTCTTATTCTGCTATAGAAAGTTTAAATTGGTTTGAATGATGTAAAGACCCGAGTGGGCAAAGCTGAGCGGACACCTCTATATTTTGCCTATAAATGACGACATCATGGACCACAAGCATCAGTAATTATCTTGGATATACATATATGTTTTGTTTTGTTGGAAAAATTTAAAGGATTTAGAGAATTAATTGTAATAATAAAATGTTGGGTGAATATTGTAAACGTTTTTGTTACAGTGAAATTTTCATGGCACTAGAAGTTGTTGTCCAGTCTTATGCTGCATAACAACTTTTTGGTCAATGATGGGCTGCATGTATGATGGTGGTCCCATAAGATTAGTAGCATATAGCCCAGATGTGTAGTAGGCTATACCATCTAGGATTGTGTAAGTCCTCTCTATGGTGTTGGCATGACGAAATCACTTAACAACACAGTTCTCAGAGTGTGTCCCTGTTGTTAAGCAATACATGATTGGATTTGACCTATAGTGTGTTTTCTCTTATACACCAGACAGTGTTTTTGCCTGTCCTCTAATAGTAGGAGGTGTGGGGAGGCTTGCGAGGAGAGAGCTCTGAAGTTATTATCGTTAAAGGACACCCTCATGGTTGAACCTCAGAGAGATAATGGTATTGTCATTCTGGTTCACTGGACTGTGGTCTTTTTGTGCCATTTCTCCCATTCTTTTGTCACCCTTCACTACTCTAGAGGCTACTTACAGGAGGCTCTGTCCACTGTGGTTAAGTGGTCAGGCCCTGGAGACAGCCAATTTACCTGGAATCTTGGTTCTACCATTTCTTAGCTGCAAGACCTGAGACAAGCGATAGCCTCTCAACAGTCTTATTTGCAAAATGAGTAATAGTACCTACCTCAAGGTTTGGAGGATTACTTGAATAATTCCATACGTATAAAGTGCTTAGCATAGTATCTGGCGTGCAGTATTAGCTGTTATCATTAAGTAAAAAAGTATTTTTGCTTTGGGATTTTCTTTTAAGGATATTATTGAAAGTAATAGAATTTAAAAATGTCTTAAATATAGTAAAAAATTTTTTTAAATGTATATTTTTTGTAAAAGAAACTTTTAAATAACTTGAGTTGTTTGGACAATAATCCGAATATGTGCTTTTATATCATCTAGAATATGTCCAAAAGTAAACCTTAAGTTTACATTGTTTTTCTTTTTTCATTGTAATTGTTTCGAATGAGTATTACAATCACATGGCTTAAAAATGAAAAACAGGTATCCCTATTTCTTGTCTTTTTCTGGAAATTTAAAAATACATATGTACAAAAAATGAATAATGTTTTTTTCCCCTTTTAGCACAGATGGTAGTGCAGCATGCACACTATCCTGTATTTTGCTTTGTCCATCTCACAGCATATTTTGGAGATATTTCCTTATAACAGTCCCCTTCCTCTCAAATGCCTCTTTTCTGTGCGTGTTCACATTCTGGATCTGGCCGATTGCCTCCTCCTGGCATTGCTTGTTTCCCTATACCTGTATTTCCTGTAAACTGCTATTTAGCATATTCTGAGTCCAGGCTGACATTTCTAATTCAAATGTTAGATTATTGATGCCTCTTTTCTTAAGCTGAAAATTTTTGTTCCCTAAAAATGTTAACGTAATCACGTATTTGTCTTACAATATAACATTTCCAAATATCAATACCAGTCTTATTGTTAACATAAGACTTTTTGGTGCAGAGTTTGATTTCTTTTTCTTTTTTTGGTGAGGAAGATCAGCCCTGAGCTAACATCTGCCAATCCTCCTCTTTTTGCTGAGGAAGACTGGCCGTGGGCTAACATCCATGCCCATCTTCCTCCACTTTATATGGGACGCCGGCCACAGCATGGCTTGCCAAGCGGTGCGTGGGTGCGCACCTGGGATCCGAATTGGTGAACCCCGGGCCGCCACAGCGGAGCGTGCGCACCCAACCGCTTGCGCCACCGGGCCGGCTCCTGCATTTCTTTTTGTCCTTAGAATACATCCCACTATCAATGGGCAGTCAAAATACTGTGTTTTAAAATTATTCGAAGTTGTTCTTTTCTCTTTATGGTTATGCCACCAACTTAGTATATGGTTTAGCCTCTTCTGTTTTTGTTTATTTTCAATTTTTAGGGATTACTTTTCTCATTTTGATTTAACTTTGTTTTTTTTAATTATGTAAAACACTTGCGTGGGCCAAAGTCAGAACTATAAAACAAAGAACATTTGGAGAATTTTGCTTTCATCGCGGTCCCCCAGTCCTGTTCTCTTGCTCCCCCATGAGTAACCATTTCTATTAGTTTTAGGTTTATTGTTCCATTGTTTCTTTTTAAAAATTTAAATCTGCATGGGTGTATTTCCCCTCTTATACAGAAGATAACATACTATATATTCTGTTGTGCACCTATTTATTTTCACATGTGGAGAGCTCTCCATATCATTACGTAGAGATCATCACTCTTTATCCTTTCTACTATGTAGATAGATGTTAATTCATACTTTGTTTCCTAGTAATGAATATTTGGGTTGTTTTCAGTCTTTTGCCATTATAAATAAAGCCACAGGGCGAGCCCCGTGGCTTGGCGGTTAAGTGCTCGCGCTCTGCTGCTGGCGGCCCGAGTTCGGATCCTAGGCGCGCACCGACGCACCGCTTCTCCGGCCATGCTGAGGCCGCGTCCCACGTGCAGCAGCTAGAAGGATGTGCAGCTATGACATACGGCTATCTACTGGGGCTTTGGAGGGGAAAATAAATAAATAAAATCTTTAAAATAAATAAATAAATAAAGCCACAATGAATAACTATTCATTATTTCTTATCTCTGCCATCATATCTTTAGAACAGATTTCTAGAATTGGGATTGCTGGGTCCTGGGGAAAATGCATATGTAATTTGGTTAGATATTACCAAATTCTCCTCCAAAAGCTGAGACCGTTTACATTGCCACCAGCAATGTATATATTTACAAGCCTCACAGACAGAATATGTTGGCAAACATTTGGAATTTTGCCAAACAGATACGTGGGAGATGGTATCTCATTTTTCTTTTAATAAGCAAGGTTGTGCATCTTTTCTAAGGGCCATTTGTGATCTATCCATATACTGTGCCCATTTTCCATTGAGCCATTGGTCTTAATTTTTAGAATCTGTTTTTCTGATAAAAGTTGCCAATTTTCTTCTCTGGTGTGTGATTTGTCTTCTTACTTTGCTTATGGTATTTTGTGCAGAAAACTTAAAAATATTTTTATATAGTCAGGTTTATTAGTCTTTTATACCCTATTGTGTTTGGATTTTGAGTCAGTTAAAGACATTTTCTCTACTCCTCGGGTATAAAGGAATTCACTGTGATTTTTTTCGCCCCTTGTGCTTATGTGACTTCATTTACTTTTGTATCTCTGGATATAAACTTGGAGTCTTTCCTGGTGTATCCAGTTTTATTTGTTTTTTCTATATGGTGACTGTCTGTCTCAACACCGTTCATTAAAAATGGTTCATCGTTTCCCCACTGCCTGATATTTTTTTTTTAAGAGCTGCATAATCTGTTGTGGTTATACAGTATTAGTGTCCTGTTAATGAATATTTAGCTTTCCATTGTTTTGCTTTACAATGATTGTGATAAGTAATCTTGCATGTGTGCCATTTTGCCCCATACCCTCTCACCAGCATTGAATGAGAGTGTCTGTTTCCTCTTAGTCTCACCAACATAATATTTTCAAATTTTTGAATTTTCCTGACTTGATAGATTAGAAATGGTATGTGTATATATTTAATTTGCATTTCTCTTATCATGAGTGAGGTTGAATATTTTTCATATGTTTAGGAACCATTTGTATTTCCCTTTATGTGAGTTGTCTCTTTATCTTTTGCACATTTTTGTATTGCAGTCCTTTTATTTTTCAGATGAGGAAACTGAGACCCAGAGAGGTTAATAACTAGAAGTGAGAGGAGAAAGGGGAGAGGGGGTCATTTGTGCAGATTTGAGATCTCAGATTTCTCATTTCCAGAGTAGTATATTTCCCATTTTACCACATTCTATTTCAGCTCTCATCAGTATTGTTGGGAATAGCATTTGCAAGTGAAATTCTAATGGATTACATACGAATCCCTAAATAATTGTTTATAATTATAGTGCCATTTCATCAACTTCAGTGTTTAAAAAAAATGAAATCTTTTCTCAGGCTCTGAGCCATCTTTCATCTTACAGACAAGTGTCGTTATTTCGTGGATTTCAACTTGGACTCTGGTTAGAGTTGCCTGGGTTTCATTTTTACTTCTGGGATTATTTTAATTTGAAACTAGGGATAGGGTAACTTTTTCATGACATCTTTTGTTTTTCATTTCAAGTGTGTTAGGTGTTAACTTGATCTCATACTTTTTTTGTTTGTTTGCTTGTTTTTTGTGAGGAAGGTCACCCCTGAGCTAACATCCGTTGCCAATCCTCCTCTTTTTGCTGAGGAAGATTGGCCCTGGGCTAACATCTATGCCCATCTTCCTCTACTTTATATGGGATGCCGCCACAGCATGGCTTGACAAGCAGTGGGTTGGTCCGCGCCCGGGTTCCGAACCTGCAAACCCCAGGCCACCAAAGCAGAACATGCGAACTTAACTGCTACACCACCCAGCCGGCCACGATCTCATGCATTTTTAGTAGAGAGAATTGTTTTTAAAACACTTTAAAAAAAACTCTCTTAATGGGATACTTAGAAAAAGAAAAAAACTTCAGCATTAATATTATTCCTTCAGAATCTTCTTTTGTTAATTTTATTAATTTTAGAACCAAAGTCTAAAACAGGAAGATTAAATACAGTTATAAACATTAGTGGATTAAAAAATTCTAATCTTAAAAGAACTAATTAGTTTAGAGGTTATTTTACAAACATTAATTGAGAGAAATTTTTTGCTTTATGGATGATATCTTTGAATTAACAATAAGCCAGAGATATTTATTGAGGGAGTAAGAGTTCAGAGTTTGCTGATCTATGTTTTCTGTGGAACTTCAGCAAATTCTCATTTAACTAATGTGAAATATTCTTTAGGGAAAGGACCAGGGAAAAAGAGAGGCCCAACAATCAAGATATCTGGGGTTCAGGTTAATGTGAAATCCATTATCCAACATGAAGAAGAGTTTGAGATGCTGCATAAATCTATTCCTGTGGACCCTGAAGAAAAAAAAAAGTGAGTGTATTATGTGCTCATGCATGAGTGATTGTGCCATAAGAAAATAGATTTGAAGTTACAGTTATGTGAGTTATGTAGTGTTTTCATTGTCTTTAACATATCAGAATACTTGGTCCATATTCATTTGTGTTCATTTTCAAATCACAAAGGCCCCTCCTCTAATGTCCTCCTTTTTTTTGAAATCCCTTTAGATACTGTTTAACCTGTCGTGTCAAAGCTGCACATTTTGATGTAGAGTGGGGAGTGGAGGATGATTCTCGCCTCTTGCTGGGAATTTATGAACATGGCTATGGAAACTGGGAGTTAATTAAAACGGATCCAGAGCTTAAGTTAACTGACAAAGTAAGTAACTGTGATGCTGGAGATGTCTAGATTTGTTGTTTAATATTTTTATATTGATTACTTAATTTTAACTATTTTCTGGGGGGTGGAAGATCAAATTGAAAATTAGTAAATTAGTACACTAGTAAATTCCTGGGATTTCTTTATCCTTGGAAATGTTACCATCTTCAGTGGACTGTGGCACTGTTTCATAGATGAGGATAATAGCCAGGTGAAATTTTTGGGAAATTATAGGAGAAATCTTAAAATTCTGATTTTTATTATAGGTCAAATTTCATTGCAACAAATACCAGGGTAAGATTATTAATAATAAAAGCACTTTTCAGCCTTAGTTGTTGGCCCTTTGTTTTAAACTGTATTTGAAACAACCGTGTTTCAGTTCTACACACAAAGAAAGCATGAGCCACACCTTGGTGTTTCCTGTAATGGAATTAAAATTGGCTGTACTTCTCCCACAAAATCGAGCCTCCCACCCTATCTGTTGCAAATCCGGCTACGAAGTAGTAAGGCTATGCTCAGAGCTGTAAGCAGGGAAAGCTGACTGGCTCACATTTTAGTAGGATGCGCTCCATGTTGTGCTCCTGGCAGGGCTTTTCCTGGCACGTCAAACAATGCTCATCCCACGTGCAGTGTTCTAAGAGGGTGATAGCACCCTGCCATAAGCACTGAGACCAAATCCAGTCTGGCCTGAGAGGTCCAACCGTGGTAGCAGGGATGGATCCTGTCCTGGCGTAGCTCAGTGCTCTCCAGCAATGCTCTAAGAAGCATTTTCAATCTAAAACGAAGCTTTAACCTAGCTCCAGGGATTCCCTGCTCCTGGAAGGAGGAAATCCACGACGGCTGGGATGCTCTAGCAGATGAAGCCAACAAGCCCCTCCTACCTGAGTTGTTCTACCCTGTTAACAGCACAGGTAGGAGCCAGTGGGAGAGCTGGATTTCTCCATCCCATTTTGTAAAACGAGAACGGCTCATAAGGGATTTTCAGTGACTGGGAGCCATGGACATGAGATAGGATCTGAGGCTTTATCTATATTTTGGGTGGTTGGGGAGGGAAAGGACTGCTCAGTTCTGTGTTGTCTCTGTTTATCCTGATCCACTAACCGGGACGTGGGTGGTGGTGGGTGCTTCTCTTCCTTTCCTGTTGAAGATTCTGCCTGTGGAGACAGATAAAAAGCCTCAGGGGAAGCAGCTGCAGACCCGAGCGGACTACTTGCTGAAGCTGCTCAGGAAGAGTCTAGAGAAGAAGGGGACCGTGACGAGTGGGGAAGAGGTAAGTGCGGCTGCCAGATGGGCGTCCTTCAGGGGACTGAGGCTCTAACCCTGCAGAGTTAGGTAGGAGAAAGGATGCCCTCTCTGGTGCTGCACAGAATGGTACCTTCTTCTAGTCAGGTGTTGCTTTCGAGGTTCCAGTAGTGATGGTTTGGTTGATTAATAATAGAAATGTTCATTTAATAATTGACCTAAACATCTTGGCAACTTTCTTACAAAGCCATTCTCTTCAAATATTGCCTCAAAATAGTCCTCATCTCTCCCAGTGCCATTGGTCCAGATGTACTGTTGCTGTTTCTTTATGCCGCTTCTTTAATTTTGGAACCTAGTTCTGGTTACTGTGTGAATACCGCTGGGTTTGCCTTTTGTTATAGCTAACTCTGGGCTCCTTGTAATAATGGGTCCCAGAGATAAAATGGATAAGAGCAGAAACTGGTCTTCGGTTATGATTGCCTTACTTGCTTAGTGAAAATACCAGCTGAGTTGCTAATGAGCTTTATCTCCTTTTATTTCCCTAACTTTCATTTCAATTCACACCTAGAAGGATGGAAATCATAGTTAGGAGATAGTCTAAGTTACTTCCAGTACTAGCAGCCTTTGCGTGTGCATGTTCTTTAAGTGCTCTTAGAGCTATGCCATTTCTATTATAATTTCCCTGTATTATAAACAAATTAAAAAAAAAATCATCCTAACTCCATACCTTGCCCTTTTTCATGTAATAGTGTCATAAATAGTGTTATTCTCCAGATAATATGTTGAGTATATACTGTAAATTAGGTTCTGAAGAGAGAGAGTAGATCATGTTTTAGATAACTGTATCATATTTGATTGAGTAGATAAATGATATTTTAATCTTTTCCTTATTTTTAGGTATAGCATACTTCTAGGTTTCTTAATATTAAGGCTTTTGTATATTATCTTTATTTGTATCTTGCATATAAGATGTTTTTCCTTCTTTTGAATTATATCTTTAGGCTGAATTCCAAAAAATGGAATCAATAGGTTCAAGGATATAGATGTTTTTATGTGGTATAGGATATGTATAGGGCTGCAGGTTCTTTTGCCTTTTTCCTTCCCAGGTAAAATTGGTTGCACTCCTTTAAATTTCCTCTGAATTTTTTTGTTTGATATATATGGCTGCTGCTGTGTTAAAGAGTCATAATGTTATTTGGTCATGCTTTTGAGGGGCTTGGTTTGTAGTTTTATCATCATTTTCTCTCCCTTTCAGGCCAAATTGAAGAAGCGGAAGCCTCGAGTAAAGAAGGAAAACAAAGCACCCAGGCTGAAAGATGAGCATGGAATTGAGTTTTCATCTCCTAGACACTCAGATAATCCATCTGAAGAGGGAGAAGTAAAGGTACGAGGCTGGATTTCAGTCGAGGCATTTTTTTTTTAGCTACATTATTGTGCCAACTGGTATAAAACCAGTTGAAATGAGTTTGATTTACATGTAGAGTAGATAAAATGAAAATGGAATATATATATATCTTTGCTTAACCTGTGAGAGAGGAATATACTTGTTCATTTCAGTCAACAATTGCAAATTCATGGAGAATAGAAGTTAAATAAAGGGGGGAACCATGCGAATTTTCGTGTTAAATGGCAATTGACACTCAGCCTCGTTGAGAACGGTGGGGCGTGGTGGGAGCTGTGGCTAACTAGGGAGCTTATGCCTGATGGAGAGGGGGCAGGTGCCGCGCAGTTCAGTTCATTGTTGGGCTAAACAAAACTCATCTGGGGGCCAACCCGGTGGCGCAAGCGATTAAGTGCGCGCGCTGCGGCCACCCAGAGTTCGCCAGTTTGGATCCCGGGTGCACACTGACGCACTGCTTGGAAAGCCATGCTGTGGCAGCGTCCCATATAAAGTGGAAGAAGATGGGCACAGATGTTAGCCCACGGCCAGTCTTCCTCGGCAAAAGAAAAAAAAAAAAAAAAAAGAGGAGGACTGGCAGATGTTAGCACAGGGCTGATCTTCCTCACAAAAAAACAAAAAAACTCATCTGTGGGTTAGGTTTGGCCCAGGACATGCTAGTTTGTAACCTCTGGTCTAAGCAAACTGAAAAGTAAATTGGTGTCATTCCATGTATTGTTTCAGTGAGTGACAACTCTGTGGGATTTTATTTCATTCTTCTTTGAGTGTGACTGTAATTGGAGATTAGCTCCAAGAGGATCAGCAGTGGGTATAGGAACTAGCATGGATTGGAGTGATGCAGACGTGAATTCAGGTACTAGCAACCTCACCAATTACTCGCTGACTGTGGACAGGTATATAACCTGTTTGGTTCTCAGTGTTTTCCATCTGTGAAATGAGATTGATAATGCCTATGTTATATAGAAGATATAAGTGAAGAGCATCCACCTCTACAGGCCTAACTGGTTGTTACAGAGAGTTTAGAATTGTGTGAGTGGACCGGCCCCGTGGCTTAGCGGTTAAGTGCGTGCGCTCCGCTGCTGGCGGCCCGGGTTCGGATCCCGGGCGCGCACCGACGCACCGCTTCTCCGGCCATGCTGAGGCCGCGTCCCACGTACAGCAACTAGAAGGATGTGCATCTATGACATACAACTATCTACTGGGGCTTTGGGGGAAAAAGTAAAAATAAAATTATAAAAAAAAAAAGAATTGTGTCGGTGAGTGCTTTAAGGCTGTATGCTTGAAAACAAGCTTCTAAGTGTAGACACTGATGAACCATTGAGGGCAGTGCTTTTATCTCCAGAAAGTAAACAAGTAAGTATGAAGTTTGTGGCAAAAGCTCATAGCTCTGTTTGTTTTCTAGGATGATGGCTTAGAAAAAAGTCCAATGAAAAAGAAACAGAAGAAGAAAGAGAACAAGGAGAACAAGGAGAAACAAATGAGTTCTAGGAAAGACAAAGAAGGGGACAAGGAAAAGAAGAAGTCAAAAGAAAAGAAAGAGAAGGTATCGATGTCATTCTTCTTACTGGGATACCCACAGCTTTTGAAATTCCCTTCCAAGATTTAGAACTAGAATGGCGTTTGAGCGCTGTGAAATAATCGTCTTTTTTGGGGGTATATCCAGGAAGGAAGGATGGGACTGTCAGAGGGATGCCTATACCACTTCCTGCAGAGAGAGGGGACCATGCAAGTTTGGGGTGTTCTTTAATATAGAAGGCCTTTACTTGCTCTTTATTACATATTTCAGAGGGGATGTTTGAATGAGATAGGACAGGTGAGAGAAATCTGCATTTACAGGTAACTACTTGAAGTATGTTCTCAGATTCCTGGTAGAAGAGCACAATCCACAGATGACTTTGAATATTTGAAGGGTTTAGGATTCAAACCAAATACTATCAAGAGTTAAGCTTTTGGAGTAGAAATGGATGAAAAGCTCTGCTATTATATAATCTTCACTTGAGGGGTTTATGAAGTTCATTCTAAACCACAGAATCCTGGTACAGTGTTGCATGTATGCTTGCTGACTTCTGATGAAATTATTTTGCAATTAATCTTTAATCATTGTTAAAACATACAGACAAATAAATACTATAATTCCACCTTCCAGTTATAACTCCAGTAAATTCCTCAATGAGTACCTTTGGAACTTTAGTATTATGCATATAGGAACAAATATAAAATAGAAATCAGACCAGACTGTTTGGGTAGCCTTTTCTCCCCACTTTGCAGTATATCACAAACAACTTTCCAAGTGAATAAATAATTGGTAAAATCATTTTTAAGAGATAAGGAAGATTCTATTTGGTTATAACATCTTGGAAGCAATTTGAGTCTCCCATAGTGAAATTGCTTTCAAATATCTGATGTTATAAACCATACTGTGACAGTATCTTTGCATTTGTGCTTTGAAAGAAAAATTTTCTTTTTTTAAAGTGAAATATTTCAAAAATCAAAGCACAAAGAATGATTTAACAAACATCCATTTATCCACTACCCAGATATTACAGCTGTTGTTGACATTTTTCCATGTTTACTTCAAGTGGCTTTTTGACTCTTGTGTTTTGTGTTTCGTGCACACATGACTGATGCTGTTGAAGCTCCCCTTGTTGCTTCTCCTGACTTCATGACTCTCCCTTCCTCTTTTCTCCTCTCTGTAATACCATTCTGAAGTTGGGTTTGAAACCTTCCTGTCCATGTTTTATACTTTTACTACATATTATATAATCATAAACAAAGCATAGTATTTTTTCATGTTTTTAAATGCTCATACATCGTCATTTTTGTATATATCTATCTTTCCACAACTTTTCATGGATAAATGAGATTTATCCATGTGGATTCATGTAGATTTTAATCACTTATAATATTTTAGTTAATGCACATTCCTGGAGCAAGGTGTATATTCATTGATAAGCTGTTAATAAAAGTTGTTACATGATATTCTACAAGAGCTCTGCCAATTTACAGTCTTAACCTTTCGATGTTGTTTTTGTGCATTTTATGGATGAGGGAATAGAAGCCAAAATAGCATTGATGAAGCTAAAGTTATAATTGGGTGTATCTAAGGAAAGATATGGGAATGATGTATGATTAAGCTGTGAATCAAATAGGTTTGGCTTCATGATGTCTCAGAGGACTTTATTTTACCTTTTTTTCTTGTTGTTGGCTGAAGAAGATTTGCCCTGAGCTCACATCTGCCACCAATCCTCCTCTTTTTTCGCTTGAGGAAGATTAGCCCTGAGCTAGCCTCTGTGCCAATCTTCCTCTATTTTGTATGTGGGATACCGCCACAGCATGGCTGGTGAGTGGAGTAGGTCTGCGCCCAGGATCCGAACCCATGAACCAGGGCCGCCGAAGCGGAGCATGCAGAACTTTAGCCACTTGGGCACAGGGCGAGACCCAATTTTACCTTTCTAATAACCTGAGGCCATCATGTTTACCTGCTGTAGTGATGTGACATAGGTAAAAAGTACAAATTGTAAGGCAGGATTGCATAAATGACAATGATTCCTTCTAACTCTTTTTTAAAAGCCTAAAGGTGGTGATGCCAAATCTTCGAGTAAATCAAAGCGATCTCAGGGTCCTGTCCATATTACAGCGGGAAGTGAACCTGTCCCCATTGGAGAGGATGAGGATGATGATCTGGACCAGGAGACATTCAGCATAGTAAGTCTTGACATTGAGGGACGCTGGTGTCTGCAGCCACAATGCTTGCTGCGGCTCTGCCTTTCATAGGTCCAGCCACACAGCCTCAGTTGGTCTAAGCATTAGAACATTACTTTGGAAACACATTGCTTCTAATATCTGAAGACCTTGTGCTCTGGAATAGGCTTGTAGGAAGAGATTTTCTTACTCTGTCTCTAGTGAAAAAGAATTTTAGGGAATGGATTTCATGTCTTGTGCTTCTAGTTGGAGAAACTGCAGGGGCCCTTAGAGGCATTTGGAAAACAGAAATGTTCACTGAGAAATGTTCATTGAATACTTTGTTTGTGCCAGCCCCTGGAGTTACCATGTTGAATAGATAACTGTTTCTATGTTGTAGACTTTACGTTTGAGTAGGGAGATAGATACTATACAAACCATGTTTGTGCTACTGTGATGGGGCTATGGAGGAAAAAGACTAGATACTACGAAGATCCTATGAGAAGGGGGTTTGACCTAGTCAGGGATATGGGGGAGGCATGATTAAAAAGCGATGTTTGAATTCGGTTCTGAAGGAAGAGGAAAAAGTGACAGGAGAAGAGGAGAGGGAAGAACATGCCAAGGCGAGGCAACAGCACGCGCAAAGGCTGTGTGGCAGGACCGAGTGTGGTGCGTTGAGGTAACAGAAGGCCACTGTGGCTAGAGTAGTGAGAACAGGGGGACAGCATGACAGGAGACCAGGCTGGGATGCTAGCTGAGTGAGCTAGAGCAATGGTGAACGTGGCGTATCTTACGTGCTTCCATGTTGTGGTGTGAGGAGCCTAGGATATGGTCTGTCTCCTCATATGAGGCAGGGAAGGTGGTGGGGAAGGAGTGCATGGACCAGGTCTTGCACGGGATTGGAAACAGGCCAGCGTACCCTCAGGACCCTTAGCCCCTTGCTGGAGCTGTATGTATGTATTTCATTGTGCTGCACTTGACAATTCGCTTCTCACCTCTCTTGTGATCTCTTCTCTCTCCAAACTTCCATAAATCACAATTCACTTGAACAGTTAATTCAGTCTCAAAGAGAAAGTGATCTTCTTCTAAATCTCAAAATATTCCTGCTCTGTGGCAGCGAAGGATAGAATTTTGACCTTGCCCTATAAGGTAGTCTTCTCTCTGTTTACCCCTTACTCTCTGTTCCCCAAAACCTATATGCATGTGTATATTTTTTTTCTTTGCACTTAGCTCATTTTTCTTAATTCTCTTTACTTTTCTGCCTGTGAGCTCCCTGAGGGCAAGTACAGTGTCTTACATAAAGTACATCTCGATGCTAGAGATATATCAATCCATGGGTAAATTGAGTAAATGAATAAATTCATTACACAACCAGCTATCTGGTCTGTTTCCTGGTTCTTCCTTAGCCCAGTATTTATAAGAGAAAATCATAACTAATGCTTCTGTCATACCATACTATGTTAAAAAATGCTTTTACATATTGGCTCATTTACTCTTGTTTTTATATTATGAGATCTTTAAAAAATACAGGAAAATCTCAGGAATATAATAGACATTGGTATAGGTACCATGGAGCTCTGCCAAATCTGAAATTTTTTTTTGGAGGAAGATTAGCCCTGAGCTAACATCCATTGCCAATCCTCTTCTTTTTTGCTGATGAAGATTGGCCCTGGGCTAACATCTGTGCCCATCCTCCTCCACTTTATATGGGATGCTGCCACAGCATGGCTTGATAAGTGGTGTGTAGGTCCGCGCCCAGCATCCGAACCTGCGAACCCCAGGCCGCTGAAGTGGAGTGCGCGAGCTGAATCGCTACGCCACCGGGCCAGCCCCTGTCAAGTCTGGATTTTTTAAAGCTCAGAATGTAAAGTTGAAGCCCCTGGTGTTCCTCACTCTAAACCCACGCTTTTCCTTTGTTACCTCCCCAGAAGTGACCACGATTCTAAATTCAATTATCATTCTCATGTGTGATTTTAGAGTTTTACTAATTACGTCTCTAAAGACAGTAGTAGCTCGCATAAACTCTGGCATTGTGTGTGTGCTTTATGTGTATTTTCTTTGTAACAATCCTGTGAGGTAGGTAATTATCTCCATTTTTCCTATTGAAAAATAAGGTAAAGAAAGTTAAGTGGCTTGTCTATGGCACACAGTTAAGATGTAGAGCAAAGACTTGACCCAGGCAATTTGGCATGCGAATCTGGATTCTTAACCATTATGCTGCGCAGCCTCCTGTGCATCCATAGTTAGCATTATAGTATTGCTTTCCATGTTTAAAAGCATTCTATAAATGCCACACTTGGTGTATCCTGTAACTTGCTTTTCCTCCCTCAGGATTTATGTTTTTGAGATTTCCATGTTGATAATTGTGTCTCTGCTTTAAATGTTTCATATAATTCTGTTCTGTGACTTCTGCAGTTCATTCTTTCTCCTGTTGATGGACATTGGGGTTTTCCCAACTATTTGCTACTGCTAAGTGGCTGTGGTGAAATTGTAAATATTTTCTTGTACACGTATGTAAGGGCTTCTCTAGAGTATTGTATATAGCTTGAGCAGAAACGCTGGGTATATTGGGTATGTACATCTACCACTCCGTTAGATATTGCTGAATTATTCTTCAAAGTGATTGTAGAGATTTGTACTCCTTCTAGCAATGAGTGTGAGTTCCGATTGCTTCCCAGTCTTAGAAACACTTGATAATTTCTGACTTCTTAATTTTTGCCACTCTGAGGGGTATGAAATATTGACCAGTGGTGTAGTTGGACATTCATGTTTCCAGTGAATTGCCTGTTCAATCCTTTGCCTATTTCGGGTAATTTATCTTTTCCTACCTTTTCTATAGGAATCCTTTGTACGTTCATGATATAATCTTTTATCTGTTACAGTCATTACAAGTATCTTCCAGTTTGTGGTGTATCTTATTATTCTGTCTTATTTTTAAATTAAAGTACAACACTGAAAAATAAACAGATTCTAAGTGTATAGCTATGGGAATTATCACCAAGTGACAGAAATTTGTAGGATTTTTATTGTCCTCAAGTTTCATGATCATGTGCCTTATTAGTTCATTGTACCAGATGCTTAGGGGTTGACAACCATGTCCTACAGATCTGAGAAATTTTTTCAAATTATTTTGTGGTAATTTCCACCTAACTTCTTAGGTTCATCTTTATAGAACTCCTTGTTTTTGGATATTGGACTCTGGGAGTGTTCCCTAATATTTTTTTTTCATTTTCTGTTTCTGCTTTTTTTTTTTTTAAAGATTTTATTTATTTATTTCCCCCCCCCCAAAGCCCCAGTAGATAGTTGTATGTCATAGCTGCACATCCTTTTAGTTGCTGTATGTGGGATGCGGCCTCAGCATGGCCGGAGAAGCAGTGCGTCGGTGCGCGCCCGGGATCTGAACCCGGGCCGCCAAGCAGCGGAGCGCGCACACTTAACCGCTAAGCCACGGGGCCGGCCCTGTTTCTGCTTTTTTAACTCTCTGGGAGATCCCTTCAACTTTATCTCCCATTATTTCTTTTGAGGTTTTCATTTCTCTTGTCATATTTTATTTCCAAGATCTTTTTCCCCTCTGTGGTTCTCTGAATGTTTTTATATTTCTCTTTATTTTCCATCATTCACATTAGATATTTTTTCAAATGGCTTGGTAATCCTTGGCAGTCTGCTTGTATTTCAGAGGAGGGGCTAAACATCTGATTGGAAGCTGTGAGCATGTGGTGGGGCTTGATTGACTTTGAGAGTGTTGACTATAGGGTGATCTGGTTGGGCTTCTTCTTGGGAAACTTCCAGTGGATAGTCAGTGTCTTTTGGTTTTTCCTCTTGGGTGGTCAGATTTTTGTGGAGAAGAATCCCCCAATCTCCTGACTTGGGGGTGAAGGCCTGGCTTTCTTCATTCTAGAATCCGAGAGGCAAAACACTGAGCAGCTCATCTAGTATGCATATGTTCATATAATCCTGTTTTCAGTGCAGTAGCCTTGCCCCTCAGTTATGCCTGTGCAGCCCAGTTCAGAGACCTTTCTTTTATCCTCTCCAGAGAATAAATCTCTATCTTTTGCTGGGCGGAGTTGGAGATCTAGGTGTCTTATGAATCTGAGTATCTGTTACTCTTCAGCGGTCTTTTAAAAACCTGTCCTTGTTTTTAGCTTTTGCCACTACTTCCAGCGGTCCTTAGCTATTGTTGGGGGAATTTTGCAGAATAAAGCAGATTGGTTCTCAGGTCTCTTCACTGCTGTCTTAGGATTTAGTTTCTCAGGTCTATGAAGTCATTTCCCTTGCTGCCAATATTTTGTTGCTGCTGTTTTTTCTTCATTTTCCCTGTCGTTGTGAGCTTATCTCTTTTTAAAGCAATCCCTTTACTGTTGTTATTGTAGAGTTAGGGAGGGGGAGAAAAGGATTCTTGTGTTTAGTCCGTCATCTTTATCTGGAAGCCTTTCTTTCCCTTAGTTTCTTACAAGCCTAGAGGACTTGTAAATATTTTTCCCAGCGGTTTTAGATAGTTTGTGATGGGAAGTTTTCAGGTTAGGTCTGTAATTTTGCTTCTCATTTGATCTTTATAATGGTCTTATGAGATTATCATGCCCCTCTAGCAGATGAGGAAACAGCAGCATTTTGAGAGGCCAAGTAAGATGTAAAAAGTCGTCACTCTTAACAGTAGTGCTAGGACTTGCACCTCAGATTTTTCTGACTCTGACATTTATACTTGTTATGCTGGCTTTCCCTGCTTCTCCTCTAAGGAATATATGGCATGAGAGTGGGTTGTGTCTTCTCTGGGAATTTAAGGCACAGTAAGCAAAGGAGAAGATGTCTTTGCTGCAGATATTTTATGTCTCTGCTCTATTGGCCTGTTCCAGTGTAAGGAGAGGATGAGGCCCGTGAAAAAAGCACTGAAACAGCTGGACAAACCCGACAAGGGGCTCAGTGTGCAAGAACAGCTAGAGCATACCCGGAACTGCCTGCTGAAAATCGGAGACCGCATAGCCGAGTGCCTTAAAGCTTACTCAGACCAGGAGCACATCAAACTGTGGAGGAGGTAATCGACCTTGGCCTCAAATTGCCCAGTTTAATTTGACAGAGTGTATCTGTTGGTTCTGTTTTTGTTTTATAAAAGGTGACATAGGCACCTAATGAAAATTGTTTTCCCCAACGAAAGCCATCTATTGGCAACATACCTGTGCAGGCTTCAGTTTTATTTTCCTGAAATAGGCCGTTTCACTGAGACCAGTCCTTTTTTTTTGGGTGGGAAAGATCAGCCCTGAGCTAACATCCATGCCAATCCTCTTTTTTTTTTGCTGAGGAAGACTGGCCCTGAGCTAACATCCATGCCCATCTTCCTCCACTTTATGTGGGACGCTGCCACAGCATGGCCTGACAAACAGTGCATCGGTGCGCGCCCGGGATCCGAACCCTGGCTGCCAGCAGCGGAGCGTGTGCACTTAACCGCTATGCCACGGGGCCGGCCCATGAGACCAGTCTTCTGAATGGGTAGGATGATGTCATTATAGTATAAGAGAAAGACAGTGATACTGGATATGCTGGTCTATTCTCGGAATAAAGGCTCAATCTTTAAACCTGAAAGAGATAGAAACCATCTAGTTTCACTACTTCACCCATCTCAGATTGACGTTCACATATAATAACTATTTGGTTAGTTCTTTACTAACACATGAGGAGAAACAAAGGTTAAAATCATCAGAACTATGAGTTCTCTGTTCTCTTTAGTAATTGAAGAACTTTAGTAAATTGAAGTAATTTGGATTAGTGCAGTTAATCCAGGACTTTAGTTTGTGAGGCATCTTGACTTAACATATACTCATTTATATATTCACTTTTGATACTTTAAGAAAACACGACTGGAATTTCTGAAAGACAGTTGTAACATTAAGTCTCTTTCCATAATCCACAGTTACTTTGAACACATGTACTTTATGGTTAACGTAATTATCTTTGTATAATATGCCCAGTATCAGTGAATTGGTTTTTGAGTGAAAAATGGATTTAAGAAAACCTTCTGTCATGATGCTATCCATAGCAGGGCTCACACCCATAAAAAAAAAAAAAGATTTAAGTTTTGAATTGTTACTTTTCTTCCCCTTTACACTGTTACCAACTTCTTCCTCTTGCTAGCCGTATGGCTCTCTTTGTACCCAACTGAATCCCTGTTGGAGCATAACAGAAGTACAAAGATCTATGAAACTAGGCTTCCTCGCGTGCACTGGGGCCTGTCTGTTTAAATGTGCTGGGCGCTGTGGTCCTGGCTAGCAGTAGGTTGTAAGAAGTTCCTTGCCCACTCCTGAGAAACTGTCCATCATGAGGTGGTAATTGCAAGACTAAGTATATTGGGAGTTCCAAGGAGAAGGAAGCACATGCAGAAGAGTAGTCAGGGAGGGAAGTCTTATGAGAGGCAGGTAGGTATGCTTGAGCTGGGCAGGGAAGGGCAGAGTGGACTTGCTTAGATGAAGAGAGTTCTCAGGCTTCAGCAAAGGCTTGAAAGTGGGGCAGTGAGGCAATGGGGAGGTTTTTAGGGTTTAAAGGCATTGATTGAGACAACTGAAGCCCTATTATAGAAGGCCTTAGAAACGAAGGTAAATAGCTTTCCACATGATGCAGCAGGTTTACCAGTTAGGGAGCCAGTACACTGTTCTGTGAGTGGCATGGTATGGCATAGTGAAACTGCTCTCTAGAAAGTGTAAGAGGATGTGAGACTCCTTTTCCAACTCACTGAGAGTACCTGTGCCTCCTTGTTCTAGACACATGTTTTATCAGTCACTCCTCTATTGACAGTAATGCTATGCTAGGGTGAGTGCAATGGAATTGGAGGGGAGGAGTCCCTCGGAGTTTTAAGGAAAAAACGACAGGGCTTGGTGGTGATGACTGGGAGGAGAGAAGGGGCAGCAACGCAGAGATGCCCGACTGTATGTAGGTCCCAACCTGGGAGATGATGGTAATGATGGATTGCACCGCAGATTCCAGGAAGTGCAGAAGGTGGAGGAAGACTTGAGGACTGGAGTCCTGGTGCTAGTGAAATAAATTAAAGGGGTTTTGCGCCGGCCCCGTGGCATAGCGGTTAAGTGTGTGTGCTCTGCTGCTGGCGGCCCGGGTTTGGGGCCCGGGTTTGGATCCCGGGCGCGCACCGATGCACTGTTTATCAGGCCATGCTGTGGCGGGATCCCATATAAAGTAGAGGAAGAGGGGCATGCACGTTAGCCCAGGGCCAGTCTTCTTCAGCAAAAAGAGGAAGATTGGCATGGGTGTTAGCTCAGAGCTGATCTTCCTCACAAAGAAAAAAAAAATTAAAGGGGTTTTAGCTATGAGACAGAACGCTAGTCTCCAGTTCCCTTGGTCAAACTCTGTTGATAGTAGCATCTAAAGAAGTATTATTGATGCAAAGACCTGAAAGAATATTTCTGTAACTTAATTTCGATCCTTGGAGAGTATTGCACAGCAAAATTCAATAGCTTGCCATCCATAAAGAGAATAAAAAGTTATTTTAAAAATTCTATAATTTACCAGAACTGGGTTTTTTTGTTTTTTGTTTTTTTTAGGAACCTATGGATTTTTGTTTCTAAGTTTACAGAATTTGATGCTCGAAAATTACATAAGTTATACAAGATGGCCCATAAGAAAAGATCTCAAGAAGAGGAGGTAAAATACGAATTTAATCCTAATTCATACAAACAGATAATAACCAGTTCCACAGAAAAATTCTTTAATTATTGTTTTTCCCTGGGGAGATGATCATAGGTTGTTCGTGCTAGAAGGGTCACTGGTTCTCCGCCCTTACTTTACAAATGGAGGCATAGGTCCAAGAGGGGGTGAAGAAGCCCACTGCAGCCTGTCCTATCTTGTACAGTGTGCTCTGTCACTGTATTAGCCATGCAGTTTCTTAGCATTCTCCACTAGTGGTCAAACTAACATTCAAGACCCGATGGGTAAAATAACCAGTGTATTGGAACCAAGCACTGTTGAAATTCTGACAGGGGTTGTTACCCTGTGTGCTTCTGTCCTGGAATCATTTATTCACCAGGCCTTTTCTTCTTCCATGTGTACATGTCTAAATGGTATCTTATAAATGTGGCTCCTGATGGGTAACAGGGTTGTGGGCAGAAAATACTTCTTCTGTTCTTTTCTGGGCCCTGTACTTGATGTCCTTCCAGTTTTTGTACGTAGGGTCCCAGCTGCTCACGTAAAGGAGCAAACATGAGAAGGTGCCCAGAAGTTGCCTTCGCTTTTTTGGTGTAGGGGGATGGGCACAGAAGTGGCTTGGCTGATGCTGCAGGGGCAGTGTTCCTTGTGCAGGCATGTCCATTTGTAGATGGGCTGACTTGCCACATGGCCCATACCCAAATTAGCCAGTTAGGGCCAGTCTAGGAACATTTAATACCTTCTCTGCTAACACGTCAGCTCTGCAAAGGCAGAGGTGTTATGTCTCTCATTCTCTGCCATATCCTCAGCGCCTGAAGTGGTGCTGGGCACGGGGCAGGTGCTCAGAACTATTTGCTGCGTGAGCATATCCTATGCCCAGCACTGTGTTGAGCTGTGGAGTAGTATCCTCAAGTAGTTTATGATTTAATTTTATATGGAAGAATATGGTATAGCAGTAATATACAGGAATAGTATGCTAATACTGCTGAATGTTAGTGTAAATTTTAAGCATTATAAAAAGTCTTTGAAAGAATAGTCAGGAAAGGCCCCAGGAGGGAATGAAATAGTTGGGAAAGGCCCTTTAGGAAAGAGTGCAAGTTAAGATGAGTGTTTGATGTTGGACATATGATGTAAAGGGCTTCATTAGTCTCAGTATTAGAAGTTGGTGTAAGCTGAATAACAAAGGTAGTCAACCTACTAGTGGGGGTATACATTGTCACAACCTTCCTGGAGGACAATTCAGTAAGATTTATCAAAAGACTAATTCTCCTTCTAAGAATTTAGTTTAAGGAGATAATTAAGGATTTAAACATGTTTGTGGTAGAAATGACTTGACCCATCCAACAGTAAGAAATAGATTAAATAAATTATGATATATCCATATCAGGGAGTATTATTAAACCATAGAAATAATATTGTGGAAATAAGTATTCACATGAGAAGATTTCCACAATATATTAAGTGAAAAAAAGAATACCAAATAGTATTTTTGTTTAAAAAAAAATGTATATATGTATGTATAAGTGTGTGTGTGTGTGTGTGTGTATACACACACATATACATACACAAAATGGCTTAGAAATATATATACACAAAATGGCTTAGAAAGACATGGACCAAATTATTAACTAATTCCTTTGGTAGTGAGATTTTAGGTTACTTTACATTTCTTATTTTTTCCTCACTGTATTTTCTGATGTTTTTATATCAAATATTTTACTTGTGTGGTAAAGAAATGGTTTACTTAAACATTTAGATGTTTAGCTTGATGACTTGGGCTTAGGAACTAGTTCCCACTGAACTAGTTGGGGGTTGTTTGTTCTAGTTAGCCTCAGAAAGTTAATGGCCCTGGTTTTACATGGTCTAAGGAATCTCCAAGCATGCTGACAGCATAGGCACCTGTTCCATGCCCCGTGCAGTGACATGTAGCAGTCCATGCACGTGTTCTTACAGGTACTTGTCAGTGGAGGTTGGTTTTCTTGTAGGGGCCTAGTAGGTCGGAGCAGCAGATGGGCTGTATGAGGCTGTTCGTGCTGTGGGAGCTCAGTGGAATTCATGAGCCTTTTTTGGTAAGAAGGTTATAAATGGCAGATCAAAAGCCAAGAGGGAAATATTTAGAGGTGATGATCTTTATTACTATTCTTGAGAATTCAGCCTGGGATCTTGAGAGTCTTTGGTTTCCTTTTATCTACAGGAGCAAAAAAAGAAAGATGACGTGACTGGTAGTAAGAAACTGTTTCGACCAGAGGCCTCCGGCTCAAGCCGGGATTCCTTGATGTCGCAGTCCCATACCCCGCACAACCTTCATCCTCAGAAGCCTCATTTGCCTGCCTCCCATGGCCCACAGATACATGGACACCCAAGAGATAACTACAGTCACCCCAACAAGAGACACTTTAGTAATGCAGGTATGTCATTAAGTGGAGTTTTTAGAAGAGGTGCCAAAAGAAGAATCATTTTATTTTCCAAACACAGCAGCTAGACCTTTGTGCTTTATTCTCTTCTGTCACTTTATTGTCCTCTTTTTTCTTAATGAGATAAAGCATGAAATAAACATCCAAAGGCTGTTATTTCAACTTCAAGAAGAACATAGCCACCATAAAAGACAAATGATAGACTGAGGGAAACAATTTACATTATATATGACAGTTAAATGGTTAAAACTGCTAATATTGAAAGAGCTCTTGTAAATTGATAACAAAAGAATAACCAAATAGAAAAATGGGCAAAAGTTAGGAAGAGGGAATTCGTATAGAAGAAGAAATTGAAATGACCAGTATGACAACATGACCAGCATTGCTACTAGGGAAATGTAAATTAGAGAAACAAGTTAACCAATTTTTTCCCCTTTCAGATCAGCAAAAATTAAAATGTGAAATACATACAAATTGCTAAGTGTGAATTGCTACAATCTTTCCAGAAAATAATCTGAAATATCTAAATACATAGATAGGCCACTTTTTTGGGAGGCTATCCTGTAGAAATAAAAACACAGACATGTCTGAGGATGCCATTCTAGCCTTATAATGGCAGAAAACTGGAAATAACTTGAGTGTCCGTAATAAGAGAGTGGTTAAATGAATAATAGGACATTTGTAGTCTGTACTATTATTAGTTATTAACAAGAATGAGTTAGGGGCCGGCCCTATGGCATAGCGGTTAAGTGCATGTGCTCTGCTGCTGGTGGCCCGGGTTCGGATCCCAGGTACACACCAATGCACAGCTTGTCAGGCCATGCTGTGACGGCATCCCATATAAAGTGGAGGAAGATGGGCACAGATGTTAGCCCAGGGAAGTCTTCCTCAGCAAAAAGAAAAAAAAAAAAAAATGGATTGGCGTGGATGTTAGCTCAGGGCTGATCTTCCTCACCAAAAAAACAAAAAAAAATGAGTTGGCTTTATAGATAATAAAAAATTAGAGGGGAAAAAAAAGCAGCAGCAGCAACAGCAACAAAATCCGTATGCATGTTTGAATTTATTGAGGTGACATTCACGTCATAAACTTAACCGTTTTAAATGATTAATTTAGTGGCATTTAGAACATTCACAGTGTGGGCAACCACCACTTCTGTCTTATTCCAAAACATTTCCATCACCCCAAATGGAAATCCCATGCCCATTAAGCAGTTTCTCCCTGTTACCCACTTCCCTCAGCCCCTGCAGCCACCAATCTGTACTGTCTCTGGATTTATGTATTCTGGACACTTTGTATAAATGGAATCATATATATAATATGTGTCTCACTTCTTTGACTTACATAATATTTTCAAGGGTCATCCACATTGTAATGTGTCAGTATTTCATTCCTTTTTGTGGCTGAATGATAGTTCATTGTATGGATTCACCACAATTTTTTATCCATTCACCAGTTGATGGACGTTTGGGTTGTTTCTACTTTTTGGCTGCTGTGAAGAATACTGCTGTGAAAATTTGTGTGCAAGTATTTAAGTACCTATATTCAATTCCTTTAGGTGTATACCTAGGAGTGGAATTGCTAGGTCATGTGGTAATTCTATGTTTAACTTTTTTTTTTTTTTTTTTTTTTTTTGAGGAGATCAGCCCTGTGCTAACATCTGCCAATCCTCCTCTTTTTTTGCTGAGGAAGACGGCCCTGGGCTAACATCTGTGCCCATCTTCCTCCACTCTATATGGGACGCTGCCACAGCATGGCTTGCCAAGCAGTATGTCGGTGCGAGCCCGGGATCCGAACAGCGAACCCCGGGCCGCCGCAGCGGAGCGCGCGCACTTAACCGCTTGCGCCACCGGGCCGGCCCCTCTATGTTTAACTTTTTAAGGAATCATCAAACTTTTTCATAGTATATGTTTGAATAATATATTTGTATAAGCATAGAGAAAGATGTGAAAATATACACACATAGCAATTACTTAAGGATGGTAGGAATGGAGGGGAGATTGGAGGAATTTCTCCATCACCTGTTGCATCACTGGTTACAAGGAGCGTGAATTACTTTTAAAGATAAAAGTAATAAGAATAAAGGAGAAAAATCATATAGAATAAAACCTAAAAAATTTGTGGTATATATAGAAGCATAGTATAAGATTTTACAGAGTGTCAGATATTCCATAAAACTCAGAATGAAGTATACATTCCTTTCTAAACTTCAATTTTAGGATTTCCATTTGATTAAAAAAAAGTACATTCTGGTCTTCTGGTAAAATTCTCAAGCTTTAGAAAAATCAATTTTCTCCATCTTTTCCTCTTTTTTTTGAACATATTAATTATAGTTATTAAAAATCTTGCCTGCTAACTCCAATATCTGAATTATTATGAGTTATTATTTTCTCTTGGTTTTTAGTCACGTATTCCTGTCTTTTGATATGTCTAGTTATTTTTGATTAAATGAGGGACACTGTGTTTTAAAAGTTGTAGAAGCTCCAGGTGATGTTACCTTCTCCCAGAGAAGATTCAACATCTCCTCCCCTGGGCACAGCAAGTGAGAGGTGATCATCTTAATCTAGTCTGCCTCTGGTCCCCTGTTCCTGGGATTTAGCTCTTCAGAGTGCTTAAAAGGGCCTGTGGCATTCTCTGCCCCTCCCCTTGGCAGGTCTTAAACTCGAATCTTGGTTTCCTCAGTACCATGAGACTGCCCTGAACTGCTCTGCTTTTCAGGGGGTTTCAGCTTAGATTTTTAGCCTTCTGCTCCCTGAAGATTCAGCAAATGTCCTAAGGGAAGACTGGCCGTGTCTTTGAAATCCCTCAAGTCTACAAGGTCTCTCTAGCCTAAAAAGATCCCCAGAGGCTCTGCTGGTGTCTCTGTTCCTCCAGCAGTGGTTTTCTGCCTGGGAAAAGCTTGGATGTTCATCCTCTTGCCTGTGCTCAGAATCACACATCTCCCCAGTGGCTGTGGAAGTCAACCCTTACCTCTTTGAGGTTTTCTGCTCTTCAGAATCTTATTTCCACTAGTCCCGATTGCTTTGGCTGTTCTTTGATGTCTTTAAACAGGTTATATTTTGTTTATCTGGCCTTTTTCATTGTTCTTGGCAGAGTGTAATTCTGCTGGAAACAAGTTCTGTGTCTTCTAATCTTAAAAATCTAAATAGTTCAAAATTAATTGATCACCATTTTATTGAGAGGAAAAAGGTAATGACTGTACAAAATGGTTGGGAAATGTTTCCATGTTCTTAGATCTAGTTGTGTGAGTTGTACTGACTTTTTCCTGGATTAGACTGGTTTTGTGTTATTTGTGTGATGTCACTGATTTTATATTCTGATCCTTTGAAAGAACTCTTCTTAATAAGCTAACTGTAGTCTTTTATTTAAATCTTGGATTCCTCACCCATCTCCTTAATAGCTCAGTGCTTCCTAACCAGTGACCTACCTCCTGGAGGGTTCAAGAAGAAAGAAAAGCTCTGTTTGATTTCTCTGGAAATAAATGACTTGGCTTGAGTTTTAAGCATCTCGACTATTCCACAGACATTGACACCCTGTTTGAAATCTTACTTTCCATTTGGTTTGAAGCCATCTTCAAGTGATCCTTTCATGTTGTGAAGGTGTCTCTTTTTGTTGTTGTTTGTTAATTCTTAGGTTGAATGGTCAAAAGTCTTTTACTTCTTGGTCCTCTGGCCTGATCCACCCTGCATCAGCAATGAATTTAAGCCACTGGTTGACTGTACATTATTTTAATGGTACAAATTTCTAAGCTGCGCAGGTTCCTTGATGGTGTTGTTCTTCTGCTCTGTAGAAAAATTTTAGAAGACCAGCAAAAAAGTAGACAGACGTTCATTTGGTGGCATATGTTTGGTCTTAACATGGTTGTAGATAGAAGATTGGATTTCTCATGAAACTACATAGTTCTTTCTGGTTAAGCCTCTGTACTAGTTTCCTAAAGCTGTCTGTTAACAAAGTCTGGACTAGTTTCCTAAGGCTGCCTGTTAACAAAGTACCACAAACTGGGTTGCTTAAAACAACAGATGTTTATTCTTTCATGGTTCTAGAAGTCAGAAGTCTGAAATCAAGGTGTCAGCAGGGTTGGTTCCTTCTGGAGGATCTGAGGGAGAATCTGTTCCATGCCTCTCTCCTAACTTACAGTGGCTGCCAGCTATGTTTTGTGTTCCTTGACTTGTGGCTGCATCGCTCCAATTTCTGCCTCCATCTCTACATGACCTTCCTCTGTGTATCTCTGTCTCAAATCTTCCTCTGCCTTTCTCTTAAAAGGATATCTGTCATTGGATTTAGGGCTCAACCTAAATCCAAGATAATCTCACTTCGAAATCCTTAATTACATCTGCAAAGACCTTATTTCCAAGTAAAGTCACACTCACAGGTTCTGAGTGGACATATATTTTGGGAGCCACAATTCAACCCACTGTAGCCTCCATTCCTGAAGTTTCTGTGTTTTCACTACCTTTTCTCATTCAAATAAGTGTGATTCTTGTCCTCAGGGGAACATGGAGGCTATAGAAGCTAAAACAAATTTCAATTTGGCCTTTTCGATGAGAGTTGGAGTGCTGACACAAATCCAAAGTTAGAGGAGAAATCACTTTTTACAGGAGGAGGTCCATTTTTTTTTGGTGTGAGCTGGGGAAGAATAGTAGAATCAGTAAGGATAGTCTGGAAAGATTTTCAGAAACTAGGCACAGCTTATGGTACCAGCAGGTAAATAAAGTGCTGTTTTCTGAATTAGTTGTTTGGTTTTGTTTTTTTGAGTGAAATCTGACTTTAAAGGTCTGCCCCAGACTGGAAGGTCAGCAGGTATGGAAAATGAAAAACAATAGTTTTCAAGATTTTAGGAAAAAGGCAGTGAATTTTCTTTTGCCTTAAAATTTGGGGGAAAGAATGTTAGGACTCATTACTGGTATGTTAACCAGCAACAGAAAGGCCAAGAAGGAGGAAATTTAATGTCCATTTATAATGTGTCAGCCTTTCAGTTTAAACTATAGTGGAAGTGAAATTCAGCCATTTCTTGCAGTCATGAGACCATGCTTTCCTTTCCTGCAGATCGAGGAGACTGGCAGAGGGAAAGAAAGTTCAACTATGGTGGTGGCAACAACAATCCTCCGTGGGGTAGTGACAGGCACCATCAGTATGAGCAACACTGGTACAAGGACCACCATTATGGGGACCGGCGCCACATGGATGCCCACCGTTCTGGGAGCTACCGACCCAACAACCTTTCCAGAAAGAGACCTTATGACCAGTACAGCAGTGACCGAGACCACCGGGGACACAGAGATTATTATGACAGGTATATGGAAGGCCCTGAGACACCAGGAGCTGACCTCTGCCAGGAGCTTTATTGTTTATAGGGGAGAGACAAGCAATGTAATACATTAACATATTTATCTATCAAATGCTCACTGAACATCTCATCATGTGCCCAGGCATGGTCCCAGGTCTGATCCAATGTTTTTCATCAAGGTGTTTTCATGGTATTGGGGAGGAATCATGATGTAGGCAGCTGACAGTGTGTGCTGATTGGATGGTTGAAAGTAGGGATTTTTGAGTTTTTCCTGAGGGCTGAGGAAGAGGGGAGGCTGGTGATTATTGTTTTGGGCCCTGAAGAGTCTGCTAAGCAGAGAGAAATGGAATAGGCATCACAGGCCCAGACCAAGGATAGGGAACCAGGAAGGGATGCCTAGAAGATTAACAGAGTGGATAGTGGGGGGTCTTGGATGCCAAATTATAGGTTTTAAGTTTTATTCTCTGGGTGATAGGGAGCCATTTGTGGTTTCATCATTTCAATTGTGCAGGAAAAGTTTTCTGCCTTTCTGTGAGGAAATCTAGAGAAGCGGTAGCCATAAAATATTAAAGTCAGCAGCCAAAGTTATTAAGTTCTGTGCTAGGCTCTCAGCCACACTAGGTAGTGGGGATCCTGAGATGGGTACCAGCCCACAATTTAGGGATCAAAGACGTTTGAAGTTGTACCCTCTCTACAACTATATAATATCATTATATGATGAGCCAAGGTTTTCAGTTGTGAGAGTTAGCAAGTACGGGAAGGGCTGAAGAGGTTTTCCCTATTCTTTCTAATTTCAGGACATAGCTGTATTTTAACCTCATAGTAACTTTGGTTTTCCCTGACCATTTGGCTAACCATATGCTTTGTTGGGGTTGCACCTTGAATTTAAAATAGGAATATTTCATATAAACATCTCAGTGTCCTGCCTTCTTTTTGGAAGATGTGGTAACACCAGGCTGCATTAGCACAGCAGCTGTAGCCAAGTAACAGCTGCCTCCTTTAGAAGGGGTCTGCACCCCTCACCCTGACCCTTATGTATATTGTCTGGTCAGGTTTCAGTGGGCATTTGCCCTACATTCCTTTGTGGAGATCTATATTTCCATTTAGTCTTGTTTTGCTTCTGCCTGAAGGACTTTTGTTTTAGTGTGGGTCTGCTGGTGGTAAATTCAGCATTTGTATGTCTGAGGAAGTATTTTGCCTTCACTTATGAAAGATGCTTTTGCTGGGTATAAATTTTTAGGTTGACACTTTCTTTCAGTACTTTAAAGATGTTCCTCTTCTGTGTGCTTGGATTGTTTCTGATGAAAAGTCTGTCAGTTTATCTTTGTTCCTCTTTACATGATGTGTCTTTTTTTCTTCATCACTAGTTTTTAGCAATTTGATTATAAACAATTGTTAGCATTTCTCTCAAATTTGGAATTTTTTTACTATTCTTCAAATATTTTTTCTGTCCCCCAACTCTTGTCTCCTTTGGAGATTCCAATTATATTAGGCTGCTTGAATTTGTTTGATAGCTCACTGGTATTCTGTTGTTGTTTTTTTTAAATTATGTTTTCTGTTTCATTTGGATAGTTTCTGTTGCTGTGTCTTCAAGTTTACTAATGTTTTCTTTTTCAATGTCTAACCTGCCTTGAGGCTGAGGCCTGTCCAGTATCTTTTGCATTTTATACGTTATGGTTTTATCTCTAGAGGTTGCATTTGGGCCTTTTTTTTTTAATTTAAATCTTCCACGTCTCTGTTTAACCTTTTGAAATCTGGAATACAGTTTAAAAATTATTTTTAAATCCTTGTCTACTAATTCTATCATTTGGGTCGGTTTCAACTGATTGATTTATCTCCTTATTATGGTCTTATTTTCCTGATTGTTTCCATGCCTGGTAATTTTTGATCAGATACCTTGTTGAGTGGTGGATATTTTTGTATTCCTATAAATATTCTGGAGCTTTGTTACGAGACACTTGGAAAGAGTTTGATTCTTTCAGATCTTGCTGTTAAGATTCGTTAGACAGAACTGGAGCATTGCTTGTTCCCCACCACTGAGACAAGGATCCTCATTGTACTCTACCAGTGTCCCTTGGATCTTGAGGTTTTTTTGGGATGGCTGGTGAGAATAGGCCCTGTTTTGGCTCTCTGAGCCAGAGGGCACTTGTACCTCTAATCTTTTGGGTGTTTCTTTCCCTGGCCTTGGGTGGTGTCCGCACATGTGTACCTGAATACTCAAGGGACAACTCTCTTCAGATCTTTGCGCTTCTCTCTATGTGTAGGACTCTCTTTTGCATTCCATCCTGTGAACTCCGGCTGCCTTGGGTCTACACACACACACACGCACGCACGCATGCACGTGCACGCACACAGACACACACACACACACACACACACACACACACACACACACACACTGACTCTCAACCCAGGAAGTCTGCTGGGCTTCTCCTGGTCTCCCCTTCCCTGTGCTGAGGCCTGGAAACTGTCTTAAGGCAGTGAACGGGGTGATTATAAGGCTCATGTCATTAGTTTCCCATGCCTCAGGGATCACTGCTTTTTGTTGCCTGACATCTGGTGTCTTGAAATCGTTCCATACATTTTATCCTTTTCTGGTTGTTTCAGGTGGGAGGGTAAATCTAGTCCTTGTTACTCCATCTTAACTGGAACCTGAAGTCTCTTTTTTATTGAGGTGAAATTCACATAACATAAATGAACTATTTTAAAGTGAACAAATCAGTGACATTTAGTACATTCACAGTGTTGTGCAACCACCACCTATATCCATTTCCAAAACACTTTCATTACCCCAGAGAAAACTCTGTAACCATTAAGCAATCACTCTCTATTCTGCCTTCTCCCCAGCTTCTGACAGCCACCAATCTGTATTCTGTTTCTGTGCATTTACTTATTCTAGATATTTTGTATAAATAAAATCATATAAGATGTGGCCTTTTGTGGTTGCCTTTTTGAACACTTAGCATGATGTTTTAGAGGCTCATCCATAGTGTAGCATGTATCAGTGCTTCATTTCTTTCGTGGCTGAATAATATTCCATTTGTACGATGCATATGCCACATTTTGTTTATCCATTCATCTGTTGATGGGCATTTGAGTTGGTTCCACCTTTTGGCTGTTGTGAGTAGTGCTGCTATGAACCTAGGAGTGAAATTGTTAGTCATTTGGTAGTTCTATGTTTAATTTTCTAGGAACTACCGGTTTTCCACATGGTTGCACCATTTTCCATTCCTGCCAACCATGTATGAGAGATGTGACTGTCTCACATCTTTGCCAGTACTTTTCTGTTTTTGGTTTTTGTTAATATAACCATCCTAGTGGGTGTCAAATTGTGTCTCATTGTGTTTTTGATTTGCATTTCCCTGATGACTAATATTCATTAAAGATGTTGAGCATCTTTTCATGTACTTAGTGGCCATTTGTATATCTGCCTGGGAGAAATGTTTATTCAGGTCCTTGGGCCATTTTTGAATTGGGTTGTCTTTTTGTTGTTGACTGGTACCAGTTCTCTTTTAATAGGATAACAAGCAGTTTACCATAGTCCTAAGTAAAACTTTTAATATTCTTTGCATTGAGTCAATTTTTTAAATAATTTAGTTAACCCTTCACTTACTGTTGAATATTTAGGTTGCTTGTGCCTTTGCAGTTACTAATTACTTACAGAATAATTTCTGTGGCTCTTTTCTCCTGCGCTGGGTCAAGGAATATGAAAATGTTTGTAGACCTTGCCAGTTTTCCTAAAGGGAGTATGAGTTTACAAAGCCATCAGTGATACAAGTGTGTACTTGTTTCATTGCAGACTCGATGAGTCTTATGTTATTTCATAGGATGTGTTTTGCCAATAAGTATAAAATAGCCCTTTGTTGTTACTCTTATTTTGTTTTTTCATTCTAGTAATGTAAGCATTTACTCCTGAGTCCGTTGAAAGTGTCCTTCAATATGAGTGCATGAGGAAGAGCCCATGGATGATGAAGAAGGGGGTGGGAATCTGGCTTTGGTCTTTCAGCGAATCCTTGCATCTCTGTTTCAGGCACCATCATGACTCCAAGCGGAGGAGATCTGATGAATTTAGGCCTCAAAATTACCACCAGCAGGATTTCCGACGAATGTCTGATCACCGCCCCGCTATGGGCTACCACGGCCAGGGACCCTCAGACCATTACCGCTCTTTCCACACAGACAAATTGGGGGAATATAAACAGCCCCTGCCCCCGTTGCACCCTGCAGTCTCAGATCCTCGCTCGCCCCCCTCTCAGAAATCTCCTCATGATTCCAAGTCACCCCTGGATCATAGGTCTCCTTTGGAGAGATCACTAGAACAGAAAAACAACCCAGATTATAACTGGAATGTTCGGAAAACATAAAGGACAGCTCAGAAAGAAGAAGAGAGCAAGAGTCATTAAGCACCTGGATATTTTTGGTCTGATCTAACAGGAGCCAGTTATCTAGACCAGTAAGTGGAGTTTCTGGACACGCTGCTGCTGTCAGCTTGCCAGCTGAAGGAGCACTTCAGGGAGTGGGAGGCCTTTTGTTTGGTCCAGCTTTGATTTGGGTCACCACTCCTGCACTTTGGCACCCCATCCCATTCCAGCCTGGATTTGGCCTCCCACTTTGATGGGTGCTAGGAGGAAGAGGTGATTTTTTTATGTACCAGCTTTGTGGGCTGTTTTCCCAGTGAAGGAAGAAGGCATCTTAGAGTCATGAATGTTGTGTTGCCGGGGTCGGTGTACCCTGGACCTTGGTGCCGTGGTCGGGGAAGGAATGCGTGCATGAAGGCTGCTGGGACCTGCTGGACAGTGTGTGATGTGGTTCACTATGACGTGACAGATGCTGCTGATGGGGAGCGGGGCGTGGGGATGAGCGGGTGGGGTCTCACATCATAGGACTTAAAGGGGAGCAGGTACACCCCTCAAATATGTTCTTGGGAGAAAGGACACTTGGGCCTCATTATGTGACACCTATGGTGCGGGGGGGCAGGGGGATAGAGAGAGGGAGACAATGGCCCCTTCCCTACGAACACTAATTTTCCCCAGACTTCCTGTACATTTCAAAGGTTTGGTCTCCTGCATGGGCCTCCTTTGCCTCCTGTGCCAGGGAAGGTAGGGTCTGTGCAGCTGACGTTTGAGTACTGTGAGTTAGGCAGCATTGAAGTTGGCATGGGTCTTACTTGGTTGGGAGTGGGCTGAGAGAGAGGGCAGGGTGGGGGGTAGGGAGGGGGTAGTGTGGCCAGGGCACTGGAATCCCTGGTGGATTTCTGATTCCTGTGATGAGAAGTAAAACTACAGGGCCTAGAGAGGAGGGGGAGCGGAGGCAGGCCTACTGACTAGCTTGTTGCGGCCGTGTGCCAGGAGGGATGCTAGTGCGGGTGGAGAACAGGTTTCCCAGCGTGGGGTTTGGTGGTGCCAGCGCTGGGGGGGCTTCCAGTGTTGTCCTAGGTCTGTGTCTGCAGCTGCGTTGCAGTTCCTCTTGCACAGCTTACAGGAGTAGGTGACACAGGATCACATGTCTCCTGACACTCATGTGGTGGGTTCCTGTGGTGAACAGCTTTCCACTGCTAGTTGAAGATCATTAGAATTGAATTCAGTTTCTTTTAGAATAAGATTAAGTGAAGTATAAACCTAAGTTAAATTTTTTCCACAATAGGAAGTATCCAAGGACAGGGTGACTGAGCTGCAGATAGTAAGAGTAATACTAGAGTTGAACTGAGTCAGGACTGGGGGGCAAGTTGGTTGCATCAATTAAAGCAGGCTCCTTTCATTCTTTTCATTCTCGGGCCTTCCGTTTTATTCATTTTAAATATAGCTTACTGGTATTGTTAGAGCATTCAAAGGCCTTTCTAGATGGAGACAGAATAACTGACTTGCACATACAGTGTGCCTATAAATGTCCAGGCTCAGAGCTGGTGAAAACCCTTCTATTGGGCGTTCACAGTGTTAAACTCTCTGAACTAACCTGTGGGGACTTCATAAAATCATTATCACTTACTTGCTGGTATCCTGGGCAGCACCAGTAATGCCTTTACCAAGAAATTGCCAAGTGAGGCAGGTGTGGCATTTATGGGCCACTGCTCCTTGCTACACAGAGCATCCTGGGGCTGGCCGGTGCTGAGTTCCAGACAAGAGTCTGGGTCCTCACAGCTTGTTCTGGGAGCTCAGTGTGCCCACCACCTTATTTATCCACTCATGGTGAGTGGGGCTGTTCACCCTGGGCTTGTACCACACATGCCCTGGAGCAAAGCCCAAGGGACTGCATAGAAGCCTCTTGGCTGCAGTCATGCACCGAGGTGCTGTGACTGCGCAGGGGGAGCAGGTAGGACATTGTCTCTGCTTTGGCCACCACAAGTTTAGCTTCTGGCGGATAGAATGACACTACTCCATATTTGTCTTGCCCAGGCCAAAGAGGAGGGTTAGGCAGGCCTGCCAGGTCCTTGAGCGATGGGGTGAGGGCAGGCAGGACTGAGCCCCAGCGCGTCTTCCCCTATGGGAAGTCAGGTCGAGTCCTGCGGCGGCGCGGCGTTTCCATTCAGTCAGAGGAGGCCAGAGGAGTAATTGGAGGCCCTGCATTTGGAAACTCATCAACATTTTTTTCTCTGAAATTGTTGATAGGAGATGTGAGTTATTCCCAAAGATGTCTCATCATGAGGAAAAAGGAACTTCCTTTTGTTCACATTCAGGACTTTTAGTGCCATATGATGTAGCAAAAGGGAATATCAGCCAGATCAGTGTTAAATTGATTATGACAGTACAGTATCCCCATAAAAGCATCTGTTTTAGGTATTGAAGTATGTTTGAAGAGTTGGGAGAAAGGAGGCATTTCCTCATTAATCTAAATCAGTATGAATACTGTATGCTTCTATCAAAACCAGAAATTTGCACAGGTAGAAATTCTCTCACTTGGAGATGGGAGAAGCTGCCCCAGGAATCTGTGAGGAAGGTATTCCATGAAGCCTAGCTTTGAAAGATTTAATTATTGGGTAGAAATAGCAAGGGTTGAGGAGGAGGGAGTGGAGTTAACATCATATGAAACCTGAACATAAACAAGGATTAATCTGGTGTACTACAGCCCTGGAAAAGGACTCACTGAAACCCAAGGCTAACCTCTGCCGACTTGCAGAGCTGGCTAGAGAGAAACGGCCAGGCTCTCCGCCAAGCCCCTTCTCATGGCCCCTGTGCTCCCTCTCCTTTTAGTCATTCCTTAACGCCCTTCGACGGGAAGCCAGAACACTTCTCACATCGTGCTGCAGACATTCTAGCCTGATGCCTGAAAGTTGCATCAGGACGCGCAGTGCAAGTGCAGTTCAGTTATGAGTTCACAGGTGACACTGAAACCCTACAGACCAAAACTCCCTTGGCAGCAGGGGCGCTGGCCCAGGGCCCAGCACCAGTGGTCTTCTGGCTTATCTGAGGGCTGCCGTGTCGGGCGAGGAGAGCCAGGCCAAGGGTCCAGGCTGCTTTAGTCCATCTGTGTCCTACTCGTTTGGGGACACATGGTTTTTCTTTATTGTAAAATTGTGGACTTTTAAAACCTGTTGACTAAACAGTAATTAATTTATATTTGTGAAAAATGCCACTGTCCTAGTGATTTCTGATGTAAATAATGTTGTTTATATAGTATGTATTAAATTTTCCTACATTGTAAAACTGCTGTACTTTTGATTCTTGTACATTAAAAGTGTTACTAAGGATTTTTAGAATTGGGCGAACCCGTTGCATTGCATTGGCGTAAACTGTGACTGGATGCACTTCCTCATCTCCCCTTCTCTTGGTTGCTGGGTCATCAAGATTTTTGACAGCTTGTGAAATGGAGCCTTTTAAAGTTGCATTTTTTTTCCAGCCCAGCACAGTTGTGTTGTGGGTCCAGGGCTCTACACCGCAGGTTTCTAAGATTTTTCCTAAGTACTGAGGTTAACAGTCCTCTGGCCCAGCAGCTCCAGCCCGTAGCCCACATCCCTGCACTCGATGAGGTGACCTGCAGGAGCTGCAGCCAGTGGCTGAGCAGGGCTGCCCTTAATTCCCCATGTTGGTCGTGCCAAGGAGGAAATTGGGAGACCTGGAAGGTGTGCTTAAAGACCTGTGCCCATCCAGATGGGTCCCGCAGCCCCCTCTACCAGAGGAAATAAAAACACCATGTCTGCCGGCCTGCAGCCTGGAGGGTAATTTAACAGTTGGGTTATATATTCCTGAAGGGGGGAAAGAACATTTTATAATGGAAACACTGACAGAAATGTTAACTGGAGCGATTTGGCACAGGGCAGACCCAGCTCCTGCGAGGCCCAGACAGAGGAAGGGTGGCACAGCCTGCGGGTGGAGAGCCGTCTGAATAGGAGTTGCAGAAGTTTGCCAGACCCCCAAGGTTTTACTAGTACTTAAGTGACTTGGAAACCAAACTCCCATCTTTGTGAAGCTCTTAATTCTTGATACCAAATAAACTCATGTGTCCACTCAGAGTTGAGGGATTAACACCCGTGACTGTCAGCCGGGAGAGTGGCTGCAGGCGTTCCTGCTCCGCCAGCCTGTGCGGGAAGGGGGGCCCGGGGTTTTTAGGGCACGTGGTTCTTAAGTCAGAGACTCGAAGAAGAGCTGAGGGTTCTTGCTGCTGATAAACTCAATTCACAATCGTGTTGCAGCTCACAACTCAGCGGGAACAACTTTGGGAAACTTTAAGAACAAGCGCTGCAATAATCAGCTTATTATGATTTACAATAGCAACAAGGCTTCTCAACTGCTTGCTGCCAACACGCCTGCCTTTTACTGGAAGAAGCCTGCGCAGGCCCCTCCCTCCTCCCTGGCCAGGCCTGCGTGTCTGGCATCAAGGCAAGTCCTCCTCAGTTAGCGCCAGCAGAAAGGTCACTTACTGAAACACAAGGCCCTGCAGTTTGCCAGACCAGTCTGGGCCCCGGGTTCCAGCCTGTGGCTCTTAAAGGAGCAGGACTAGGTCCTGGATCTAGACAGGTCCTTTCCATCACTTTGTGAGGTTGGAAACCCGCTGGACCTGTGTCGCTTCCCAACCTGCCTCTAGTGTTTGTTCTGTTTTGTGAATTGGGAAAGAGACAGCGCGTCTGAATAAAAGCTCTGTATCCTGTAGAAGCCTGGGCCCGGTGGTGCCCGCCCCGCTGCTGCTGCTGCTGCTGCTGCTGCTGCTGGGGGCACCCTGCCCTGGGTCTACGTTTGGGGATTTCCTGGTCAGTGCTGGGGTCATGTCATCTGCTTTGTGTGGGAACATGGACAAGTGAGTGACCTACAGCCTTCTCATCTTAAAGGTGGGCAGAGTGATAACCCACTTCTCGGGGCCAGAGCTGCCCCATGGAGGGTTCCCACGCGCTATCCTTTTGTTCTTAATTTCTTTCGCACCCTAAGGGGATTGTCGTTACTCAAGTGCAGTCCTGCTGACCACCTGCAGCGAGGTGGCCTTGGGGAGCCTGGATGGTCTAAAGGGGCCGGGCAGCAAAGTCAGTGTGTTGCCCCCAGTTGGCCCCTCCCTGTGATGGGGCAGACAGCCTTGTCATCTTCATTTGTAAATGAAGGAGGCAGCTTCTAGAGTTAATGTGGGTTTTAAGTGAGAGCTCGCACTGTGGAAAAGGAAAAGGTTTATAAGCCCACAGGGCTACCTGTGAAGGAGATAGTG